AACAATCCATGGTTATTCAAATCTAAACCCTAACCTATACATGGATTCATTACTTCGGACTTAGGTTTTGGATCGTCGTGATTCAGTCTATTAATCGAGTATCAGCCAAGAAACTGAACCAACGGAGGCTGTCGGTGTTGATGTTGAAGTCACTGCTTTGCATTACTTTTTGGTTGAGGGAAAGGAAATTAGGGTATCTGAATGATGCGTTTTCACAAAGGATTTTCAATTAAGGGGGTGTTTAGGATTGCTTATAAAAACAACTTATTGACTTATTTCGGTGTGACACGGGTGATAAACACTTTTGAGTGCTTGAATAAACAATTTATACCGGTGCCAAACCGGTAATAAGGAGTTTTTGAAAAAGTTAAACCCTTCTGACTTATAATAAGTTGAATAGTGCTTTTGTAGAAAAGCATAAGTCGTTTCAAATAAGCAAATCCCAAACACCCACTAAATATAAGAACAACTTATTGACTTATTCCGGTGTGACACCGACAATACGCACTTTTGAGTGTTTTGATAAACAACTTATACCGGTGTCAAACCAGTAATAAACAGTTTTTGAAGAATTTAAACCTTTCTGACTTATAATATGTTGATAAGTGTTTTTATAAAAAAGTATAAGTTGTTTCAAATAAGTAATCCCAAACACCCCTAAATGATATTAAAGGTTTCGACTCATGTTATTGGATTTGCCATGCATATTGTTGTAGGGATTCTTTAGCTTTCTTTAAGTTTAGGTTATTCAATTTGCTCAGGACCGTCCCTTAGCAATGTTAAATGTGAGATTTTGAACAGGGCCTCCGAAATCATGGGGCCCAAATTTACATGTGTTAAGGGTCTTTTTATTTACCTATGTAAAACTATAGCTGAAATTATTTAGGTTCAAACCATTACTTATTTGGTTTTAGGTTCAAATCAGTAATGGTTTAGGTTTAGTTTCAAATTGTTAATCGTTTTAGGTTTAACCCATTTTTATTCTTAACATATATCATCTGTCATCTCATTTATGCAATGTAATCAAAAGTTTTGGATGTAGCAGGGCCTCCAAAAAGGTTGGAACGTCCCTGAATTTGCTACACATGCTTGTACCATAATTAACATACACAAAGTTATGTTAATGGATCATTAGAGTCATATCATTTAAAACCATTAAGTAGTCCTGTGAAGCTTTCGGCATGGACGGACCCAATGTAGAGCATACGATGTCCTGTGCCACAGTATTGTTCATCCGTCGTAGTGTAAAAAATTCTAAGGTCGTGAAAAATGCCACCATATTAATTTGTTGTGTGTCTATCGTATATATTTTGAAACTAATATGATAACATAAGTTTTCCTTGTTAGAGTTAGTTTGCAAGACTTTTCTTCCATCCCAGACCTATGTTCAAATCTTATTAGTGTTATTTTCTTAGTTTTTAACTTTTCATTTAGATCTATTATGTTTCTGAAAATAACTTGCAATAAAAGACTTGAAGACCTCGCATATGAAAAAATAATGAACTAACCAACAAACCAATAATGATTTATGAAAAATATCTTTATATTTGTTTCTTATAGTCAAATGGTGTCGCCGTTTGAATAAAAAATTGGGTTCGTCCCTGGCTTTCCGGCAAAGGGGTAGTTGTGTATGTAAGCGTAGTCTCGCTTGTCGAACTCGTCCAACCCAACTAAGAACAATGGAGCATGATAACCACATCTTTTTTTACCTTTGGGAAGGACTCCGGTAGTGGGTACCTCGCCTTATTGTCTTTTTTTTTTCATCTTGATATGAAATTTGGCATTAACAAAGCAATGGCGGGGAAGCTTTCCCTATTATGAAGTACACTATTTAGAGAAGGTCCCATTCTGCTTGTTGCCGCTAGTGAGATGAGGTGTGAGACGCATGCCCTTGTTTTGTTGGTGCTGTTATATATAGAACTTCTTGAAACATGTGTAGTGACACAATTTTTGTAGTTTGGCGCACTAGGACTTAGAGAATATCGAGTTACTAACCACTCATTGGGTACAATTGGCACGCCATTATGGCACTAATGACGTAACAAAGTCCATGTCGGTGTGATCAGTCCATGACATCTTCTTCTATGTTCGAGTGAGAGCCATCTATGATGTGATAGGGGATTTATTTTAAGTGGCATATGAGTTGGCCCAACACATTTGGTTTACTCATTTGGTGGATGGTGGTGTAGTGTCGAACCCCCATTCCACATTATTTTGGTAGATGCTTATATGCATGTCCAATGTACATGCACATATTTCTCATGCTTGTTGTGTTTGTATGTGTGACATGGTACGCAAGTGTATGCTTTTTCAAGCTTGGTACGAATTTTTGTGAAATTTTATTAATTTAATCTCTCCAGATTTGTTTAGTGTAACTTTTTCAGTTTTGAATCTATGTTGGTATTTTGATACGTTGTTGTTGAAGTTAGGTGTTATATGTGTTATTATACATTGTATATAACTTTTGTGTACGTTTAGAGCCTCTCCAACAGACTATCAAAAATAAAGATTTTGAGACTTTTGCTCCAACAGATTCCGCACAACCATCTCCAAAATGAGAAGATATGAATGATCACTTATGAGAGAGATTTTTTTTATTCATTCTACCAGATTGCTTGAATTTAAATGTTTATGAGAGATAAATAATATTTTATTGTATTGAATATTTTAATAGTATTATTAATTATGTAATCTTAAAAATAAAGAATTTGTTGGAAATAAAGGTGATTTTTTATTGTTGAGATTTTTACTTTTTTGCTTCTCTATTTTGAAGAATCTGTTATAAATGCTTTTTATAAGTTAGATATTTGTTTCCCATGTTTAAAATTAGGGCTGTGTAGAAAGTCAACCGATCCATTTATAACCCACCGATCCAACTAGAACTGACCGTCGATGATTGTTCCAATTGTGATCGAATAAAAAATTTCAACATCCAATTTAGATCACTTGGTTGTTGAATGACAGTCCATAACCGATAAGAACCGACCGAATTGCCATCTAATTTATACATCCAATAATAACCGACCGATACCATCTGGTTATCATCCAATACCCCATCCATTCCCATCCAAATAAATAATTTAATATATTATTTATTATTATTTTTAACAAAAACTAAAAAATTGAAAAAGAAAATAGTTAAAAGTAAAAATTTAAAACACAAACAATAGCTAAGACGTAAAACTCTTGAGGTTGCAGACAATATTTCTATTATTTAGTTTTTAGTAGCTTAATGTTTCTAGTTTCCACTTTCCAATATGCATGGGTGAGACTTAACAATGGAAATTGTATGTTTTTAGTTACTTTTTTAGTACACTAGTGATTGAACAGATGAAATTAAGTATTTTGGGATATATATCAGTTATTGTAAATCGGATTAAAACATTGGATGAGTCCGATCTAATCGTCCATTGGATGTCAGATGGATCCAAGCTGATCCAATGAATGGAACCTAACCAATCCAATCATCTATTGGATTGGTTGCAAAATTCAACATCCAATAAATGATTTTATTGGTTCGGTTCCTGTCACATCCATTGGATGTCAACCGATAAACAACCTTATTTAAAATATATGTGATACAGATTTGGATATTTATTAATTTTGCTAGTTGGCTCGATTATTTACTTATTTATGTATCATATTCGCACATGGAATGTTCGGCTCAACCACATCTATTTCTTGGCAACATTCGTTCAGAGGAAATCATAAGTAAGAGACTCAAAATATCCTAAACTATTGTAGGGTTATGCTTATCGTGATACTATTATTAGAAAAAAAATAAATCAAATGCTTCTTTCAAGACATTCTTCATATATTTTATGGGTTTATTATTAAATATGGTTCAATATTGCTGTTTTTTTTTACCTCGTATGATTGTGATTTAGATATGAACGTAGTAGCTTCACTTTCCTTGTCGGAAATGAGGCGTTACGCTATGCATCAAATTTACCATCTATGCATAGTAGTTAACCCAACAAACCAAACTTAACAAAAAAAAGGACGACATAAAATAACAATGAAGCAACTGATTAACCAACATTTGGTTTGCGGAGCACAAAAAAGTTAAATTGGTTTTCAAACTAGAAAATCGGTTTTAAGAACAACTAGTACGTCAATTTTCCAAGATACAATGACCCCAGCGATATCAAGTTTTCCCAAACTTAACCTTTAGGTCTGTGGAGGTGTTTGGTTTAGGTAAATTAATTTTCATTTCCCCCAGTTTAACTTCAGATAAAAATTTCAGCGTATGAGGAAAGGAACAGTTTTTTCTTTATTTTCATTCTCATTAATTATTACTTAATGCTTATAACCAAACATTACTAAGGTGCCGTTTACTAAATGCTTACATGGGTAAGCACTTACCAACTCACTTTATTTTACCGGATGAATATGTCAGGACTAAAAATCTTACCCGGTAAGATCGAAGGCAAGAATTAAGAGTCTTACCTGGTAAGTGAGGACAAGGACTCTTATCATGGTTAGCGCTTACCGGGATAAATTGTTGCATACGATGCGTTTTAGTGAATAAAATCTTATCCGATAAGTAAGCGATAATGTTGAATTTTACCGATAAGTGCTTATCGGATAAGTGTTTAGGTAAACGGCCATTAAAATAATGAGTATTGATTACAAAATAATGACAATTAAATTCAATAATTGTAACATATGCTGGTTTAACAATCCTTAATTCCCCATTCATTATAAAAACAACTTTCAATTTTCTCTTTATTTCAAAAACAAAAACTTTACAAAAAAAATTATTTAAAAAAAAAACAATTTTCATACATATTTTGAAAAGTTAAAATGGAATAAATTTTGCTTTCGTTCATACAGAATTTGGTCATTGTAAAGTTGTTTTCTCGAAATTGGATTATTAAAAAAATATAGTTTTCATTTTTATTCGACAAGGGCAATTTTGTAATTTGGATAATTGAACCCTCCAGTGTTTTCTTTCGGAACTCGAAAGCTTACGTCAAACTTCAATTTTTTGGTCTTTTACTCCATATCCCGTTTTCCGTCTTCGTCTTCACTGCCCTTGTTTTCTACCGTCGGCGAATCTTTGGTGCCGGAAAATCCTGACGTCAGAAGAAGAAACAATCGATGCATGTCTGACCGTCTAAATCCTCCAATTTTATAGCTGCAGGTTTGTGTATCGTCGGTGAAATTATAGATACATGCCCTATCTTTCTCGATGTTTCGAGTATTTGAATTTAATATAATTTCAAATGGAACTTGAGTTGATTCTGTTTTTACATTTAATTTCTGCATATGGTGCCTCTTTGAACGAGTTATACTCTTTGTATGTGTTAGCCGCTTGTTTTTTTGGCCCTTAACAGGGAAAAGTCTAGAGAAAGGTTAGGGATGATGCTCTGAGATCTATTAGCAAGTTCTAGATTATTAATGGCGTACATTAGCGTTGATTGTTTTATATGTCTTAATTTGAGCTTGAGTGTGAAATTGATGGACATGTTAGATGTTACATGGCTGGGCTGGCTATAGAATGTTGTAATACTAGGTTAACAACGTGGATTGGGAAATGAGTGTCATACTTGATTCTTAAAACTGCTGGGTCAGGTGCTACGATTAGTTTAATGATGAAGTGGAGTGCTTTGATGTAATGTTCCTGCTGACTTCTTCTGGTCATCCGTAAATTTCTGCTCACTGACTTCCAATGCAAGTAGAGATGTTCTATGTGAAATAAGAGAGATGTGTAAGATGGCCAGTTGAAGGATATTGTATCTACTATTTGATTGTTAAGAAAAAACTGGAATTTGCCTATATTCGTTGGTTAAATTTGTGTTGCATGGCTTTCTTCATCTGCAGTTGCCACAATGACCAATGATGACCGTCTTACCCGTAATCGTAAATTAAAGGACGAGGGAAATACAAAGTCAAAGAAGAAAAATGCATCCCCTCCTTCAATCTCGGGATCAGCTGATGCCTCTGGATTAAGAAGGTCAGGAAGAGAAACATCATCGAAACAAGCCACGACAAGTCCATCTAGTGCTCGAAAGTCTGAACGAATTGAGAAGCAGGCATCACCAAGTTCTCCCTTAATAAAGAAGAAATCAGAGAATATTGTGAAACAGATGGCGGGAAGTCCTTTGAGGAGGTCTGATAGAGGTAAGAAACAGTTTTCACCAGGTTCTTCAGGATCAAAGAAGTTGGCTGAGATTCCTGCTTCATCAAACATCAAGTCAAAGAAAGAGAAAATTCCAAGCAGTTCAAAAGAGAGTGTGGGGGATGCTAATGAAGATAACAAAGATGAAAGGCAGGATCCAGATGTTGGTGGCAGGAAGAGGAAGAGAATGACTGCTCGTGGTTATAAGGCTTTATTCAAACCTCAACGGATAAGAGTTGAAGCAGGTGCCCAAGTTTATTTATCTTCCTATATTCTATCATTATACCTTTGTTGTCACTAAGATCTGCACATACTTTCCTTCATCAATTGACAATCAGATACGTCCCATTATACAAATATCCTGCTATGATTTACAAAGTCCCGAAACACATTATCATCTAACAGTGATCTATTTTACAATAAATAATCATTACAGTTTGAAAATAAAAATGTTTTCTTTTTCAAAGTAAGGTACTGCTTCTAAGATTTCTGAGCACAGTCTGATGCCAAATGGACACACCGTTGTTTTATGAGCTTATAAACTTATGATGCTTTTAATCTAGAAGTATTTCGTCATAGCAGTCTCTTTTATAGGTAATCTTCTTTGTTTTGTTCCTTCTGTATACTTACAAAATTCTAAAGGAATTGGTTGACAACTTTTTTTGTTGGCATGCAGATGATAGCAAGGACCCCAATGGGCAAGAGAAGTCACCTCAAGCTAATAGTAGCAGCAACGGATATACTGCAATGACAATTACGAAGCATGATAATGTTGAAACTGGCCCATGCTTAAAAGAACCAAGGTATTAATACATATTACAGTCGCTTCTTTTCTTTATTTGGGTTAGACATCAATTCTGCCGAGACAACTATTTGCTATGTTCTTTGAAGCCATCTCTTCCCTATTTTTATCTTTTAGTAGGTAAAACCAAACCAAACCAACCAAACCCATTATTTCCCAAACGGAGGTGGGTCTGGCAAGTGGGATTACGTAGACTTGACCTCAACCGCAAACAGTAGAGCGGCTTTTTCATGAAGACCCCCATCTTGTGTAAAGTGTGTGAAAAGAAAGGATAAAACTTGTTCAAAAATTTGCGGAGAAATAACATAAGAAAAACTTTAAAATAAGAAAGACAACACTAACATTTGAAAATGAGTTAGAAGTAAGCAACAACATTCAAACAAACATGCAAATAACAAGAAAATATAACCAAGGTAGGAATAACTACACATCCCTAGTCTTAACCTAAGGCTCAGGAGATCTAACTGCTGGCTCACTAACCCTACCCCATCCTCCAACTTTCCTGATCCTTTCCTCCTGTCTAGGCTATCTATAGATTTCCATCTTTTGTCTGCTACACTTATCTGGTTATTTTGGGTATCCAAGAACTCCTATAAGAGGTCATGTCCAATGGTTAAAAATAAAAGCCGACCCTTAGAAAGTCCCAAATTGACAGCATTTTCAGGAAGTTGGAAATGATTGCATCTATGCTCCAACTTTAGGAATGTTAGAAGATGCATCCATAATCTGTTCCTTCTATTTTCCCATGACGTACACTATATAATTAAGGTTCCCCCTCATAATGAGAAAGAAGATTACAATCCTAGTTTTTTCAGGTGCATGCATATCTTTCATTCTGTTGTACCTAGCGGAGTTCTATTGTGCTGCCCACAATGATGAGTTACTCTTACCCTGCAGGATTAACCATGGTTTAGAGAATCAGCAGGAACTTGACCCTTGTTACAACACAGGAGAAGGAGGTTTATGTGGCACCTCTAGTTCCAAGGTTGGTCAACCTTTTGATGTTCTTTTCACGTATTGGCTGTAAACCGTTCAACAAACCACAATTCTCAATTTTCATTGCTTGTATTGACATCTGTTGTTCCTGTTCTTTCCATAATATACCACCCTACTTAGATCATATTCAAAAAGTCTTCAATGAGAACATTTGTAATATATAACCAAGTTGAGTCATTGGAAATTTCTTGTTTTGACACTTGAGTTGAAGCTCAATTGCTAATTGAAGCGCCACTGCTTGTGGAAATTTTAACAACAAAGATTCGGTAAATTATAATTCAAATTTCTTGTCTGTTTATTGATTTTCTACAAGGAATTGAGCACATATATAGCTGATATTGAGTTCATTGCAAACACAATCTAACATGTGTACCACAAACAAGACCACCCATGTCCAACCTTTGCTGATAACTGATAAGATACAACTTAAAGCATCAATTATCACCAAAACCTAGTTTTGCCGACTATATATATGGACCAGATACAATCTTTGATAGAATATTGTGATTCCCAAGCCACTTACAAGAAAATAGTAGATACGTACTTCAAAAATGCTTCTTCACCAATCAAATAACACTAGTTGAAGTTGCGTCTCTCCGAAGCATACACATATGGAAAAAGTTATTTAAGCATTGTATATTAACTATTCTATAAAATCATCATAAAGCTATGTTACTTCATTTATTCCAAATTAGCTTAATTTCAGATGTCCGATTCATCATGGTATGGATGTACATCCATTATGGATAAAATGCATTCTAACCCATATTCAAGGATAAGTAAATATGCTAAACATTCTGGACTTGCAATTAGCAGTTCCATATGTCCAGTTTTAAACAAATCAAATGACCTTTTTCTGACATTTGAAATTTCAAACATTTGCCTTCCAGAATCAGATAACGATGTTTCTTGAGATTTTAATATTTTCGGATTAATTTTTTGCAGCCACTTTTTAGCTTCATATGAAAAAGACTAAGCTGATATACTGCGGCTAGATGGCTTTGTTAGGTTTGGGGAGGGAAGTTTTTGTACATAGTATTTCCCACAGCATTTTGCAAAGAGACTTGGAACACTTCTTATGCATGTGTGTAAGCGACTAGTCAAAGTTGACTTTAAGTCTATTGAGTTTTGGTTTTATGTTTATTTTTTAACGGGCCATAAGTCTTCACCTAATTGCATGTGCGTAAGAGACTAGTCGGAGTGTTCAGTTGTTTTTAATGCAGTTCATACATACGTGTTTATGCTTACCATTTATGCTTTTGTTATAACCAAATTACATTTATGCATTTTAACTATGGTTTAGAGGGAAGGTTACTCTGTGACATGAAGGATATCGTTTCCAGTCACAGGAACAACCTTTTTCAAAACCAAGGAAGTACAAAAGACTAAGCTTCCTAACCCCTTTCAAAACTGACAATCCTTGGTGCACGAGCATTCCCTTTAACAATCTTTTAAAAGTGAGGCAATAGATGCATCGATATACCAGTTCACGAAAATAATAAGTGATTGACATTATATGTGTTTTCTTTTTTAATTTGTGTTACTGCCTACTTTATTTGTTCTGGCGCTAACCTCCGTTTCTCTTGAATCCCCAATCCCTCTTTCTAGACGGTGAAGTTGAATAAATCGACCATGCCACATAAGCTGTTGAAGAAAAGATTATTGTTGTCTTTTAAGCCACTAAATGAGAGCCAGGAGGATGCTGGTAAGGTTTTAGATTACCACTACGAGTGGCTTGTGGAATGGCAAGGCCTTGATAATGGGAAAGCTACATGGGAGTTGGAGAGTGCTGTCCTAGGTTCACCTGAAGGTCAACACCTGATAAAAGAGTATGACCATGGTCATGGAAAGATGGGGATTTCTGCTCCATTGGTTGATAAGGTACGTCTCTAGAAATTTCCAAAGCAAGTTCATTTTCTAAGTAAGTAAAACTAATTTAAGGAAACATCTATGGCAGTGGTCTCATCCATATATACCATAATAATCTCTTATTATTTGGAATTGGGAGGGAAAGCTGTCCCGGTTCATAAAAAATGCATGATATGATGTGTAGAGCTTTTATGCTTTAAGTCAGGGTCGGCTAAAAGTGTAGCCCACTGCTAATCATAAAGAGAAACAGGAAGATTAATCAACCAATTTGGAGATTTTACATCAACCTGTGTTTTATCCATTCTCTTCCTTTGATGCCCAAGTCCTTGGTCATATATTAATTGGTCAAGTAGTGCACTTCCCTTCGATCATTTGATTCAGTTTGCTTCATCAACAGAATCTACTTTACAATAAAATATTTGTAACTTATGATTTTGAAGCAGTTGTGTGAATATCTGTTATGTTGAGTGCCTGCTTTGCCAGTCCATACGAATATAAAGAAGAAAGAATGTATGCCATAATTTTACATATGTTGGTTAGTTGAGTGTACAAAAGAAGCAGGTGAAGTTCGTTTCAGCCCATAGTTTATTGTCATCTAGAGCATGCCAGAGCCTTTCTTTTGTCATTTGCATATATTGTTTAGAGTAAACTACTATTTTGGTCCCTGTGGTTTGTATAAAGCTATGGAACTCGTCCTGCAAATGCAAAAACTACAAGAATGATTACGACAATTTTCATTTTGGTTTGAAAGTGGTCCTTCACTAACACCCATTGATTTTTTCTATTAACTCCAATTAAATGAGGGGCAATTTGGTCTTTTTCCATTTTTCTCATTTTTTTCAAAAAATAAAAAAATATGTATTATATGTTATTATGTAAAATTAAAAAGAAAAAGAAAAAGGAAAAGTATAAAACCGCGTACCCACCCTACCTGCTCCGTCTTACGCTCAACCCCACCACCAAAAGTTGCCGGAAATAAAGGGTTGTTGGCGAGTTTTCTTCCTCTGACGGTGGTGGTGGTGCTGCTGTGCGTCAAGAAACTTCTTGGGGGGATTTTAATTCGGCGATCAAGCTTTGCACCACTGATCTCAATATTCTCTGGTAGTTTGATTTGGGTTTCAGATTTAGGTTTGAATATTTGATATAGATTTCAGATTTGGAATATTGTTGGGTTTTCGAATTTACATTTGATTTAGGTTTCAGACTTTCAGATTTGCAAGATGGGTTTGGTTCAGATTTGGGTTCTCTGGAGATGACCGGAGGGTAACCATAGGGGGAGGGGATAGGGAAGAATAGGATTGAGGACAGGGAACATTAATGGCTTTATATATGCTTTAAGCATGTGTACATTTGAAATTTTTTTAATAAAAAGAGAGAAAAGACAAAAAAAGGATAAAAAACCAAAATGCCCCTCCCTTGACTGGTTTTGAAAAGTGAACCAATCATTACCGACAATGTCCATGTCATCTTTGAGAGGGTTATGTAATAATACACCTAGCAAGTTTAATCGAGACTTTGTTGCTAGATTCATACCAAATATTTTTGTCTAGGACCAGTACTCTTATTAGTGTTATAGTTGACTTGATTTTGACTCTTTGTAAAGTCAATCATGTCGGGATCGCCTGCGTTTGGTACACTAGACAGGGACAGGACAGAACATGACAGGGATCCCTGTCCCATGTTTGGCATGAATTTTATGTGGAACAGACAGGAACATAGTGGAACAGGCCTGTTCCACCCCTACCCCATGGAATAGGGTGGAACAGACTTATATTTTACCAATATAACCTCAAAATAAAACTTAATTTTCTTCTAAAACATCAAATAGGTCCCTCTTTTACATTTTATTTATTCTTTAAATTTTATTTATTGTATTTTATGTTTCTTAAACTTTCATTTTACTGTCCTCAAAATATTGTTTTTATACGGTTTCTATATTTTTATTAATTTATGTAATTTATTTTATATTAATAATAAAAAATAATGTAGAAAAGAGATAAAAATAAAAATAGCAAACCACATAAACTTTTTATTTGGTGTCATTTTAATTGTTTTGATGAAAACTTCAAATGATATATGTTGTTATATAAAAAAATCATTCTATTATAATTTAATAAATTACATAAATTGTTTTCTTGATTTTATCACCGTCAAACGTATTGTGTAAGGTTCACGCATGCAATTTGTGGTTTTCGATGAGTTTTGTATGTTTTCCCTTGATCAGAGTAGTAAATATTCGATTTTAATCTTACAGGAGTGATTGTACAGGTGATAGGTGAATTCTTTTGTTTTCTGGAAACCAAGTTTTGTGAATGTGATGATACTATATGGGATCACTAGCCAAATTGTTTTCTTGATGCTTATATTTTATTTACTATTTGATATTGAATCCATTTTAATTGATTGTGCGCTTGTTGGTCGTAGTTTTTTCTTCTTAGTATGGAATGCATATAGATTTGTTTCGATAATGAATTCTTGATGCTTATATTATATTTACCTTTTTCATATATCATTAGTTGATTATGAAATCATGTATTTTTGCAAGTAGTAGTGGTTTGATGTAAGTTATACTTTGCACATCGTATTTGTTAACATTTATATTGATTATTTAGTGAAAAAAACACTAAACAGCTCACTGGGGGTAAATTGGTCATTTTAACCAGTTATGTCCAGTCCTGTCATGTCTTACCAAACGTTGAACAACTGTCCTGTCCTGTTCTATCCCGTCCCGTTCTGTTTGCGTATCAAACACACCCCTATAGATTCATGTTCATGTTCATGTTGCTCATACTACTACATAATTTTGCTGTCAGCATCAAACCTGATTCATGAGGACTGAATATTCCAACTTCTTTTTTTAATTTGCCTGATGCTTAAGATTAAGGCATCATCTGTCAACGGTGTTAATCTGTTAATACTACTATTTCGGTTTGCTATTAGCATGTAACTTCAGCTGTAGCTTTTGTTTATTTATTACTACTTTTTCTATTTTAACGAAATTCATGCCCTCTTCTTATGCAGACCAAGGAACCATCAGTTAAACCTCCAATTAGTCCTGCTGGCGGTCCACCTGGGATGGATCAAATCCATTTCAGCTATGTTAAGAAGTTGCAAGATAGTTGGACTAAAGAGCAGAACCGAGTAATTTTTGACAATCAGGCAAGTGTTTAAGCTTATAAGAAGTTTATCATGTGGATATTCTGTAAGTTATGCTTTCGACCATTCTAGGCTTCTGTGATATTTTATAAATACGTTTAGTGGTTTAGCCACTTATTCTGTTGTAAAATTTTTGATACCCTTCAACAATGAATGTATCATGTTTTTAACTTTTAACTGAACATCAACTTTTAGGTGGAGAACTCTCAAACATGCAAATACGCTTTAATAATCCTACCTGTAACTCATAAATGTCTGCTCTAATAATACATATTTCCAGATATTCACCCTCAGGTTGGAGGTTCTACGTGCTGGACCTTCAACTTATTACAATAAAACATGCACACTGAAATTGAATATAGATTAGGTAAGATTCCCTAAATAGATGATTGTGATGAAAATAGTCACTTGAGCAAAACAGAACTCTCGATGTTACTTGGAGAATGTTGAGTGGAAATCATAAATCTTTTGCTAGAGTCCAGTTCGTACGTGATTTGAATCTCTTCTCTTACAAGCTACAACATACTCAAGCCACATAATGAAGGATATAGTCACATTACGGTTCCCATAATGGAGGATTCATCTCTTAAAATACAGTGAGCTCCTCTCAACAATGAAGACACAAGCCTTCAATGAAGAGGACACTCTGAGTTCAGAACTTCCTCAAGCGGCAAAGAAGCCCTCCATAATATATGACACCATGAAGTTCTTAATCTTGTGAGCTATGCTGTTAATTGCTGTGCTATTGCAGTTAGAGGTTCTAGGGGAACTAGCGGTTCCGCTAATAGCGGCGCTAATCACCTCCACCGCAATTGGGCCGCAATTTTGATTTGCAATAGCAGTGTGAAAACCACAATTAGGAGTTGGGCTTTTAGTTGGCCTTTTAAAGGGTTTAGAGAAGTCAGTTAAGGATTACGAGCTACGGGGCTGATTTTGATTTGCAATATTGGTGCGTAAACTCGCTATTCCTCTCTCATCTCTTCTATATTAGTCTACTATTCTGTATCTTCTCTTCACAACAACATTGTCTTTCAACATCGATTACTCGTCATCTCTTCTATTCACGTGTTCTTATGTTCTCTTCAATATATATATATATATATATATATATATATATATTATGTTATGTATACATTCATACACTTACATACAATTGTAATTATTACATGAACCGCTATTTGTGGACCGCTATACCACCGCTTTACCATCGCGATAACCGCTATATCAAATCATGGTCTAGACCTCTATTTCAGATTTTTGACCGCCAGGATAGCTTGTGAGGGTATAATATTATGGGAGAAAGCAATCACGTTGCAACATGTATGAGGAGGATTATGAGGATAATTGATAACATTTATTTTTATCATTTATTCTTATCATCTTTAGGATGATTAGTGGTTTAATTGTTAGGATAAACATCTATTCTTATAGTTAGGATAATTATCATTGATTTTATTTAATAAAGAGATGTAATCCCCAACAACAAATAGTGGATTTTTTGGATAAAAATTATTGAGAGCTTCCTCTTTTATTTTGTGAGACAATCGCCACTGATGAGATGCCTTAGGTTAACTTGGCTGTGATGTTCAAGAGATCTAGGACTATGCTCTGAGGCCTTAGAAACCTAGTTGCTTCTATTGTTTTTCAAGTCTGTTGTATCGAAGTAATTGTCCTGCATCAAACTCGCAGACTGATTACTACTACAATAGTGAAGTTTGACCAAGAAAGTTCTTATTGATATGAACAATAACATTAATCACCCATATCTAGAATCCTAGAATAACTTTACCATAAGTTCTTGTTCTAAAGAGGAATCAGCTCATGGAGAAGTGAGTCATCATGTTGGGATTGATGCATAAGCTGCAAGACCTCTGGCTATGATATTTCTGATTTCATTTGAAAATGGATTTACTTATTCAATCCCTAACACACTCCTCATTGTTTTAGGAAGAAGAGAAATATAGTGATTATGTTAAGTTGGGTCCTATCTAGTGTTTATATGGGTGGTACTGATGTTACGTTAGTTGTCGTTCAATACGTGGGTGTTTAGGTTAATTATTGACTTATCCTTTTTGATGCTTCAGATCTAACTTTTATTACATATCACTTTGATGCTCATTTATTTGCTTTCCATGCATCAGCATACTCTTTACGGTTGATTGTGTCTGAAATTTTTGTTATCTTTTGATTTGTGTATTGAGTTTCATCATTTGTTAAGTTATAACCACTTTATTGATTAGATGTGTGAACCGCATGTAATGGAATATAGCACTTGCAGGAGAGGGCGATGAGAGTTGTTCTCTTTATTCTTTCATTGAATGGTGTAACCCATCCTTTCCTAATAATCACAACATCTGGTTCCCTAGCTCAATGGGAAGCTATGTTCTTAAATGTAGCACCATCTAATGATTTGAAAGTCTCCATTGAGGTTAGAGACACCCAAAGAAGTGTTAGATTGTTAGAGGCTCAAAAGGAAGGTGGTGAGCTGGTGTTTCAAGTTCTTTTGTATTGCGTGGATGCATTTGTGGAGGTATGTCTATCTGAAATAAATATGTCAGTTTAACTGGAAATTCCTGTTTTTTGCTGGACTGTTCTTCAGTTTTCTTATATGTACATAACCACTTCAAATGAAGTACCTAACAAGTTGGTGGATCCCATTTGTACACATGAAGTTTAAAGTGTTTTTAAGCCATAGTCATGATCTTACGTCTCTTGGCAGGATTTAAGTATGTTGAAAAACATAAATTGGGAAGCAATCATGGTTGACGAGTCTCAGTGCTTAGAGATCTCAGCACATTTCGATGATATTAAGAGTCTATCCACGAATAAGAGGTTGCTTCTTTTTGGTGGCCCAATAGGGGTATGTTCTTTTCTCTTTAATGTCTCAGTTTTTATGTGTTCTCAAAATGTCAACTTATAGTATTTAACTTCTGCCTTCTATCCACCCTGTTCTTCATGCTATATTCTGGCAACTAGGAAAAACTTTGAGTTAAAAATTTTTGTTGAGTTGCAGGAGAACATGGCTGAGTACCTTAATGTGCTGTCACTGGTAGGTTACGATGATGCTTTGTCTAACAATACCAGATCAAAGGCTGAATCGGATGATAGTCTTGGAAAGCTGAAAGAAACCTTGTCCCAGTATGTTGCATATGAATGCAAGTCCGACCCTTCCAAGTTCGTAGAATTCTGGGTCCCTGTCCAGCTATCCAATCTGCAGCTTGAGCAATATTGTGTTGCCCTATTCTCCAATGCTATGGTTCTTCGTTCATGCTCAAAAAGTGATACTATTGGGGCTTTCCATGACATTCTTATTTCCAACCGAAAGGTTTATCCTTGCACTATTCTTTCATCTATTCAAAATTTTCATATCTAAGCTTTTAGTGCTAGGAGTTGTACCTTCTATATAATGATGCTTATCGTCGCATTGACTTTTTCTTTGTCATAATTAACACTGTCATCTGCAAATAGCATACGGGTTTGCATTTCCTCCAATATTTTTTGGCTTGTACATTTTAGATCTATTAGCTTAACAGAATCATGTGGAATAGTGATCTCACTTATAACCTAGGGAAAGGAAGTTGCTTGGCACTGTTTCTTCTTATCCTAGGCATATGTTAATGGTTAAATGGACAAGCTTTAAAAGAGGGTTAATAGTTTATATGTATTAGGTCGTAAAAGAGCAGTGGTTGATATATTGAACTATCATACTTCGCCTCTTGCTACCAATCATTCTATTTGCTAAAATACAATTTGAAGTTTGTTAAAACTAGCAATCTTGGGTAACTTTTTTTTCCCATAACGAAGAAGCTAATCCTGATTGCTAATGTAGCAAAAAAGACGACTATATTCGACCCTAATCTCATCAAAGATAAGAGAGTTTGAAGTAATACTTGTGTGCATTGAATTGACAAATAGATTATTACTACTCTTGACTTCAAGCATCACCAAAAACATCTTTGTTTGATTGACAATCCATGCTGATGTTGGTTTCAGTTGTGTGTCCAGCATGTTGATTTAATTGGAACAAATATGTTATTTAGTTGGTTTTAGTATCCATACAAGCATATTTTACTACCTGCTCGTTGGTTTTATGATTCAAGTTATTAATATGTATATTCATGATTTACATTGCTTTTAGCATTATTTTAATTCACATTCTAAAAGTTAATCTAGTTAAGGTATTCAATAAGTTAACTTATTGATAAGCTACTTGGAGTAGCTTATGAGGAGCTTTTTGACACTTTTTCCAATTATAACTCTTATTAATATTAATTATAAATATATATTAATTATTAATAAATATTAACGATTAATTACAAATAAATATTAATTATTCATAATATTAATTTATAGAAATTAAAATTAATCAAAATTATTAATTAATTTTAGTTATACATTATTAAATAATTTTAATTATACAAATATACATTAATAATTATTGTTAATTATTTATAAATGTTATTAAACTATATCAATTATTTTTTAATTATTATTCAAWATATTTAGATATCAAAAAGCAATTATAACAACCCCAAAAATGTTTATGTAAGTTACATAAAAATTAAAGTTATACTTATTTTATTTCATAGATAATTAAAATATGCTAAATAATTTTAATAAAATATTTAATTTAATTATTAATTACATTTTTGAAAAAATATTAATTAATTAGGATATTGACGTGGACCAATTTTATTGTTACATTATATGTAATGGTTATTTAAAATCATAGGTTAATGTAGATTTTTTCTAAAATTTGTTTTAACTTCAAAATTTATAGTATATATAACAATCAATTTTAAATTCTTTCAATTATCATATATTATTTAATTTTTCTTTACTATCTTGTTTGATTAATTAACATATTATATTATTAGAAATTTGTTTTAATTATATTATTAGAAATTTATTAATTATATATTATGAAATATTTGTAATTGACTATTTTTTCAAGATGACCTTTTTGGTCGTTTTACATGCTTATAAGCTAGTTTTTGTCAAACATAATTTGTTCATCAGCTAGCTTATCAGCTAGTTTGCCAAACATAGCCTAAATATTTTTCTGTTTAAGATCTAAAAGTAATTTTGCATAATTAAGTTATAACCATCTTTATGGAACTAAGGGGGGTACTTTTTATAAAAACATAACATGTATGAAAATGTAATAAATCAGTACTTGAAATGAAAGGAAAGAAAGACCATACAAATGATTATCCAGGAAGACATCAACACGTTGTTTTATGATGGATAAAGCGCTTGGGAGGCAGTTGGTTTGGAATGAAGTATCCGTCGTGAATTTCACATCTGTGATAAGCTGTCCAAAATCACTAGATCTAGTGAAGTTCAGTGTGTTTACTGCATTTCCATTCAATATATTGCTATTTTGCCACATCAGCACCTAAAGTTGAACCATTTAAACCCAGGTTAAAGTTTGTCAAAAATCAGTAGCTTCAGCGAAGTATGGTGGTTCTTTTTGTTGCATTTTTGTAAGTTCAATTGTTTGCAATAAAGTGTGATGGTTAGAAATGTTAATATTACAATGGTTTGAAAAGACAGTTGGTAACTATTGCTGTCCATACACGGAGGCATTTTCTCTCTCAGATTATAGTTTGCATTGTTAATTGATGAAATAAATAACATAAAATGTCATCATGAATCTGATCCCTTTTTGGACCTTTATGTTTTTTTTTGAACATTATTCATCCAATTCCTATGACACAGTACTTTTTTTTGGCTAATTCATTTTCGCTTCACAGTGATTATCATTTAGCTAGGTATTTGCAATTTGGGAAGGGGAGGGGGGCTCAAACTGCAGACCTTCAAGCTCTCTCTAACCCTTAACCTACCTTCTTGCAAGCATGGGCCGAACAATGAAAAGTTCTTTATATTTGTGTTAATCATTTAAACAGTAATCCGCTGTTCATCGTCGGATGTCTCTAATTGATCTTATTTTTTTGTTCTTGAAGTGTTGTAATCACCCCTATATCGTGGATCCTAATCTTCAAGGCTTGATTATGAAGGATCGTGAACCAACTATGTTATTAGATGTTGGCATAAAAGCAAGTGGCAAACTACAATTTCTTGACCTGATACTGCCAGAGGTTAAGAAACGCCAACTAAGAGTGGTTATCCTTTTTCAGGTACGATCGATGATCTTTAATTTAAGCTGCAGTAAGGTGCTCTTCTGTTGTAACCTTTTTATGTTTGTTTATGTTCTTTCGACATTGTTAGTTTTTATTCAAATAATTGTTTCACAATTGGACTGAATGTTGAGTGGTAAACAATGTCACTGATTTTCTTTGTTAGGTTCTCGAAGTGACCTCAAGTAGGCAAATCATCCTGTTTATTCCCCTAATTGTGTTGCATTATTACCAAGACTTGGTAGTTAGTTGATCAGTGAAAAGTGAAAACATATTTATTTGGTCATAACCATCTGAATTGAGTTGCATGGAATCTGTTTTAGATTCTTGCTTGGATTTATTAAATCAGTGTAGTTCAAAATCCCCAGCCCTGAATTGGCTGAGTCAGTTGAGCCGTAGGTAAAATACCAACACTTTGTAGAAAACTGGTAAAATGCTTTGTACCGTTTTGTCTAGAATTTAACTTCCACCATGCAAATCAATTGACTTTTCATTTGGTTGTGCTTTTTTCTTTGAAATGTGAAGGCCTTGATGACTGTTCTCTTTTACTTTCCTTGAATGTGCAAATGCTAGATTCTACCCTCCTCAATCTTTTGTTTTTACCCTCTTCAGTGTTGTTCTATTTTTGTCTATATTTGCTTTCTCTAACCGCCTGCCTCCCCTCTCTCAAGACCCTAAAAACCATGTCTGGTTGTTTTGTTTAACTTGGACAAATCAACACATTGCCAGCAACTGATAGCATGATAAAGTTTAATATGCACAGCCATATAGGAGGTAGTAATCAAGTTAGCCGGCCATTATGTATTTAATGTATAGCCACCTATAATTTTAGATATCTTATAAAGCATCTAAGTGAACAAAAGTTGCTCCTAGTCATTGCACTTGTACAGTGTGAAAAACAGCAAGTGAGATTGAGACTGCAGTTTCCTATTTCATTTGATGTGTCAATTGTGTATCTCTTGTGTATGCATGTGGGTTTCTCTGTGTTAAGAGGTCTTTCTGTTCACCCAAAAAGAGTTGTATCTTTGTACTGCGATCATATTGACATTTGTCTGTACATTTCTTCTGACAGCCTACAGTCGGTACCGCAAAAGGTTTAGCTTCTGTTGGAGACATATTAGATGATTTTCTCCATCACAGATTTGGTCAAGACTCTTATGAGCGTATAGATGGGGTTGGGATTGTCCCATCAAAGAAACAGGCTGCTTTAAACAACTTCAACAAGGATATGAGTAGATTTGTCTTCTTACTAGAGCATCGTGGGTGTCAAGCAAGCATCAAATTATCATCAGTAGACATTATTGTCATATTTGACAGCGATCTGAATCCTGCATATGATTTAAAAGCCTTACAAAAAATATCAATTGATTCTCAGTCGGAACAAATAATGATTTTCCGTTTATATTCTTCATGCACACTGGAAGAAAAAATCCTTAGACTTGCAGAACAAAGTGTTGCTATTGATGGCAAGTTGCAGAATTTAAATAGGAGTTCTTGTGATGCCTTACTCATGTTTGGCGTCTCAGACTTGCTCAACAAAGTGACCCAATTTCATAGTTCATCTGTTCTGAATATTTCCTCTGAAGAATCCTTCTTAAAGGATGTACTAGAGGAGTTCTTATACTTAATTTCTCATAAATGTAACAGCAAGGATACATCTAAGTCAATCATCACTAGAGTTAAAAGCTGTGGGATTTATGGTAAAAATATCCCGTTGCATACACCATTACCCTTTGGAGAACAACCTCATTTATTTTGGAGAAAGTTGTTGGAGGGAAAGTGTCCGAGGTGGAAGTTTGTATCGCTGTCAACCCCGAGACAAAGAAAAAGACCACACTACTTTGAGGACTCATCTAAGGAAACTAGTGCTGCCCATGCTGATGTTGGAAAGAAACGTAAGAAAACTCTGAATAGCAGCATTGAGCCTGCTGCATCTAAGCTTGTGGTAGAAGCTGAAACTGGAAGAACAAATGAAGGTGAATGGCAATATTCTCTGTTGTTGCTATATATGCCTTATCTCTACAAGTACATATTTTTGTGTGCAATATAGTTCACTTGATTTGCAAAAGTTACATAGGTCTTGTAATAAAGTGACTTCTAGTTTAAGATCTTCAGATGTTCTTTCAGGGGCTTCTGGAGTTCCTGCTCATAATGAGTCTCAATCATCATCTGGTGATCACTTTTGGTCTACTGCAGTCCATAGTGAAAGGAGCCTTCATCATCTCCTGAAGCCCACTGTATCTGAGCTTTGCGAGGTCCTCAAGCTTTCGGTATGTTCCTGACCTGTTTGTCCTGGATTTTCCATATCTTGAAAATGAAGTATTTGATTATGATAGTGGTTATAGCTCTTGGGAGACTCACGTACATAATTTGTCTTTATTGTTTATTACATTGTCCGTAGCAAATGAGTGATTTGTTTGCTTGATATCTTATGAGTGTGGATGTCGCCGACAATTGAGGAAACTATATGGAGCTCGTAAACGATTTCCACCCTTTTTAGTGTTTTGAAGCAGAAACATAATCTTATATATTGCTATTTACTAGTTTGTAAAGTTTCTCTTCAATGGTTATGTGTGCTTTTGAGGTCATTTTGTTTGGCATGTATTTTCAGATTGGCAATATAGACTTATATCTCTAAAGATTATGTGAATAACATTCTTTGATCTTCTTCTATTAGTATAAGAAAGTCTGTTTTAAGGAGAGGAATAAAAGGGATGCTAGGTGAAGAAAAATCTTAAAATTTTGGATTGTGCAGGGAGTTGACTTGTCTTGCTTAATAAGATTATTGACCTATGCAATGAGAGACTTATTGGAGGACATAGTTTCTTTCTGTAAACAAAAATGTCGAAGAAAAAGGAGGGCAATGTTCCCACATGCTGTCAGTAATCAATATTTTTTACAGCTTTTAAGAAATTTTCATAACTTAGCAAGAGACTGAATGCTATTTCACCATGAACGTGAACTGGAGGAGGTAGATGACTGGTTCTTTTGAAGCTTTCAATCTTCAAATAATGCTAAATATTACCAATATGTAGCACCACCCATAAGTATTACCAGTTGTCTTTCTGGGTATCTGTCTTTCACCAATCATAGGAGGCATTCCTTTTTAGTTGCGGAGAAAGTTCAAGCTATGCTGTTACAGCGGTCAAAATTTGAAATAGCGGTTAGGACCGTGATTTGATATAGCTGTTATCGCGATGGTAAACCGGTGGTATAACGGTCCACATATAGCAGTTCATGTAATCATTACAATTATATATAAATGTAGGAATAGATGCATAACATAATATATATTTTGAAGATGAACATAAAGAACATGTGAATAGAAGAGATAGCAAAAAATAGACTGGAATAGAAGAGATGAGAGAGGAATAGCAAGTTTACACACCAATATTGCAAATGAAAATCACCCCCCTAGCTCGTAATCCCTTAATCTGACTTCTCTAAACCCTTTAAAAGGCCAACTTAAAGCCAACTCCTAATTGCGGTTTTCACACTGCTATTGCAAGTCAAAATTGCAGCCCAATTGCGGTGATTAGCGCCGTATTAGCGGAACCGCTATTTGCCATCACTATTTCACCGCTATAGCACCGCAATTAACAGCATAGCAGATTCCTGCCACACTCAAATAAGATTACTGCATGCACACTTCACTACAAACATTATAGTAATTTGTGAAGTGATCTTATATAATTCTATGCATGATCGTGAATTCGGAGATAGCGCTTGGTTTTGTCTCCTAATGTTGCTTGTTGATATTCTATCAAAACTACATGGATGATTTTTAGGTGAAAATCTTCTGTTTCAAGATAACTCTAACCAATTTTTATTTTAGTTGAAAACTTCACTTTCTTTGAATCAGTTTTACTGAAAAACACCGACCTACCTTCAAGTGAAACTGAAGATGTTATTAATTGTTATCCTGTTGTGATGCTTATGTTGCTTGTTGGATACAGAGAGTATATTTAATTGGATTTAGTCAACTGTGATTTCAGGAGGATGTCAAGATGACAGTAGAGAGATTTCTTGACTTCGTCCTTGAGAATTACCATGTCAGCAAGGAACACACAAGTACATTACAGGCTTTCATGATATCGCTGGTATGAAACTTTAACATACTGAATGAAGTAGATACATTATGCTCTTCTGTGGTTTTGTTAGGCACAAAGTTGTTTGCTTTTTTTGGTCGTCCCTTCAATTCAATATTTAATTTTCTCATTTTAATTTTTACCAAGAAGAGAACATTAAGAGAGGCAGGTGTGCCACCATTTACTGGGTGGAAGTAGTTGTTGCACTTGAACCCACTTAGGCCCAAGCCCATCCAGGCCTATTATTCTAGAATAGTTAAGGGGTATTTTGGGCACTTATAATAAATGCCTAGTATAAATAGGGGGCTGGAAGAGGGATAAGGTATTCAGAAAGTTGTTAATCATGTTCTTGGGAGAGTTCTAGCCTCTCAAATAGCCAGTAACCATTGGGTTTCACAGCTTGAATTCCATCAGCACCTTTGATAATTTCAATTTCTCTTTTAGAGTTTGATTGATTCTGTCCGATTCATAATAGTAATGAAAAGGGATTTTTGAACTCCAACATATTGATATCAGATGGCATTCGTGTGTGTGTGTGTGTATATATATATATATATATCTGAAGGATCTCGTTTGTAGCATTAAACCTTCCCAACTGGTTTAGAATAAAAAGCATTGGTGTTTCAAATTTCAATCTATTGCAAATCCCCTGCCACTTTTTCTGTGTTATGATACTCTGGGATCTTGAGTTCTTTCAAGTTCAATGACATATATGGGTTTTGACATTTTTAATGTATTTATTGATGTGCTTTATTTCATTTCAGTGTTGGATCGCTTCTTCACTATCAGGATACAAGATTGATAGAAGGGAATCCTTTGCTCTTGCAAAGAAGCACTTGAATTTTAGCTGCATGGAAGAAGAGGCAAACTCTGTGTACTTGAAGCTGGAACCTGCAAAGGAAATGTTCTTACTACACACGGACAACCAAGAAAAATGTGATGCTTTTAAAGATTGTATACAAGCACCTCAGGCTACTTGCACAGAGTCAACAGAACCAAAAATGTCACACTCACTTCTACCTAACCCACAAGAAGTAAAACCAGAGATTGTAGATGGTCAGCATGCTGATGTTTCGGGAAGTCATGAGTTATCAAATGAAGAAATGTTGCAAAGTGCCGAGAAGATGCAAAATGAATGCAAGGATGATCTTGCCACAAAGGACCAAAAAGAGATGGAGAGGTTTAATAGAGAATGGGATGAGAAGAGGATGCTTCTGGAGAATGATTACAAAGTGGAAAAAGCTCTTATTCGTACTCTGCATAGTAATCCTTCTGTAAGATCAGAGAAGCTGAAATCTTTAGATAAAGTGTTTGCTAACAATTTGGAAGAACATGACAGAATGAGGGAGATTCACCTCAAAGATCTTATGGCAAAGCTGTCGGCTGGCGAAGGCCAGATAATAGCTAATTGTATTCCTTCTTTCAGTGAAGGTAGAGCTAACAATGAACTTACTTTGCATGAATCCCAACACGAGAATCAGATGGTGCACTCTGGGAACAGCATTCAAGAAGCTCAAGATGTCCCTGAGGCTGATCCCATTTCATCCACAAATCTGATTGAAGTACAAAATCATGATAGAATGATTGAACCCTCAGTTTCTCTTGGGGATTTAGATGGAGGGAATGTTAAAGTGAATGCAATTTCCTTAGAATTTGTCGGTGCTAGGATTGAGGACCAGCCCAAAAGCGGAAAAAATTTGCACACAGGTGCAAACCTTGTTGAGCCAAATGGCTTGTTATTAGAGGAAGAGCCTGGTACGATGGTTGAGCCATCTAACAGAGTGGGCAATGCACATGATGGCGTTAACAACATCGGGTCCACAGGCTCTCATACTTCTGAGAAACAGAGGGCTGATGCAACAGTATCAAGTGTACCAACTGAAGAAAATCCGGCACAACAGCATGATGGTATTGACAATAATGTGGTGGGGCATGTAGACTCTGTGGAGTCAGGAGTGCCAGAAGTTGATTCCAATGAAGAAAATGCTAAAGGAGGCAATACGTCACCTGCTGTCAAAGACTGTAATGAGACTGGTCCCGGTGATATGCTGCCGCATGTCGACTCTGCTGTCAAAGACCGTAACGAGACTGGTCCCGTTGACATGCAGCCGCATGTCGACTTTGCTGAAATGGGAACACTAGCTGGCAATTGCAACAAAGATACTGGCCAAGATAGCACTATAATCCCTGATACATTACATGTTGAAGACCAGAATGATTCGTGTGGTTCCAGTAGTAGTAATTCACCTTCTGCAGCTGTGTCACCGGACAAAACACCCACAGTGGAACTGGTTGCTTCTCCAGCTTCCGATCATTCAATGCCAACAATCCCGGTAGGTTTTCTGCATTGTCAGAAATTTTAGTTTGTGCATCTTTTATCTAATCTCGCAGATTCAACTTTGACCAGAACCTAGTCGAAGGGACTTAGCTTCTTGTATCATATTTCCATCACTGTTCAAAAGATCATCAATAAACAGTAACCCAGAAGTCAAAACACTGGAAGTACCTTCATATATGGTTGGCCATTAGGTGACCCGATGACCCATCTGCCCATTAACATTTGTGATCAGTGAATTAATCTATGTGTATGTTAAAAAAATCTGATACTTTATAGCGAGATAAGATTATTGTAGATTTGAGAAATCTTACCGGTGCTAGCTATGTTCTTGGAATTATAGGGTCTGCTTTCTATGGAAATATCGAGTCAATGATGATTATGCCTAATATTTGTCATTCTCATCCACTTGTTCATTGGATTTCCATGAATAAACTAAATATCATTGTAATTTTAATGTTTTTTGGTCTTGTCAGGAAATTCAAAATGAGTCTCTTCAACTTCAACAACTTCCATGCAGTGGAAGTCAAGATAAAGAGGGGCAACCTGATCCTAGTTCAGTAGCAGAAATTGATGTTGATAATCTGCAACCTGTAGATGCGGGACAAGTTGGTCAGATCAATTCAGAAGATCCACCACTTGAACCTCTTGATGAACTGTCTTTCCCGTTGTCTACTGATCTACCCATAGCTGAGAATCAATCTGATATACTTCCAGCCAGTGGGATTTTACTTGAAGCTACTCGTGAAGAGCCAACCCTTCCTGGAGGACCTAGCCAATCAGCAGAAAATCACACCAACCCCTCTGATGATACCATGCTGCAATCTAGTGGGAATTTGGAAGAACATCAACCTTCATCTGATGCAGTTCATGACCAACCAAGTGTTGAGCCACGCAACTCGGCCCAAAATTCTAAGCCACCAGTATCACCCCTTGCTGCAGAAATCCCGAATCAAAATGCTTCACGACCTGAAATGAGTATGTTTGATGTTCAAGGATCTGATAACCTTAACCAAGTGGTCTCACGGATGTCAAATCAAGTTGATCCACTTCAAGCTGAACTGGAGCGATTATGTGCGGTGAAGGATAATGTTATCAAATTCCATGAAGACATTGTTAGTATCTAGTTTTATTTACCTTGATAACTCGGTGAGTTTTTCATCTTTGTTTCTCATTTTGATTTTGGGTCTTTCTTCATGCAGAGACAAAGGCTAAAATCTGATTGTGAGAAGGAAATAACAGAAATGATTGCTCAGATAAATGTCAAGTATGAAGCTAAGCGTCAGGATGCAGAGGCAGCTTTTCATTCAAAAACGAAGGAACTTGATATTAATCTCAACAGAGTCGTCATGAATAAAATATTGGCCGAGGCTTTCAGATCTAAGTGCCAAGATTTTACTCCTGGCCATGCAGGAACGCAACACGGTATGCATACTTAAATTAGTTATCAATGCTATATTTGCTTTTGTGTGAAACATCATTGCATAATCCCAATGATGTAATTATTATACTAGGTGTGATTTATTATGTTCTCACCTTTGTTATGAGAGTTCTACCCCAAGGGTGCGATCGGTACATTGGAAATAATAGAACAAATAATAATCGTTCACACTCAACATGCATTCTTTTTGTCCCACCGGAAGTCCAAAATAGGTGGAACAAAAATCAAGGAGATGGGACAAAATTTAAATCACTAACTTCCTAATGTCAAATTAAAACCTTAAAATCTTCCAGAATTCTTTCACCTGCCCTCCTCACTCTTGCTTGAATTTGGTTTCTAGATAGGACAGAACAATTGTTCAACATTTGGTAAGACGGAACTGGACAAAATAGATAAAATGACCAATTTACCCCATAATGAGTTGTTTATACAGTTTATATATTTTGATTAGTTTATTAAATTATAATAAGATAAATAATTTTTATAACAAAATGTATCTTAGGAAGTTTTCGTCAAGACGACTAACATGACACCAAAATAAAAAGTTCATGTAGTTTCTATTTTTATTTTATACCTTTTCTTATTAATATGTGATAAATTAATCAAAATATAGAAACCGTGTAAAAATAAAATTTTGAGGACAGTAAAGTGAAAGTTTAAAGAGTATAAAATACAATAAATAAAATTTAAAGAATGAATAAAATATAAAGAGGGAGGCGTATTTGATGTTTAAGAAGAGAATTAGGTTTTATTTTGAGGTTATATTGGTAAAATATAGGTCTTCTCCACCTTGTTCCATGGCATGGGGGTTGGAACGCCTGTTTCACTTTGTTCCACTCTGTCCCACATAAAAGTCCTCCTGCTATGTCATGTCTAGCATACCAAACGCACTCTTAAGGAGATAGGGTTGGATTCCCGTGAGAAGGAGAGTTAAATTGAGATGCGTAAGAAGGGATCTCCACCCTTGGATGTACATTAGGATGAGATGCACTGGATCAATCCCTGTATCAAGCGCGATTCATTTGTGGGTTTGAGATTAAAGGTGATCAAGGGTCCAAATCCCTTCCTACACTTCTCATCTTAACTCTCCTTCTCACACGATAATTCGTCTAAGGAGAGAACCCCACAAAAGTTTGTCCTCTTTGAACTTTCCATTATTCAACTTGTTCATTTTACATGTTCTAATCACAGCATTCATCAAGTTCCATATTCTAGCAAAAATTTGACATGGTCTTATATCTACCTTCTTCAAAATTGCTCATCTGGTTTTAGTTTTTTATGAATTTACTAGAGTTCAATTTGAATTTATGTGCTCTTTATGCAAGATCGACTTAATGTATGTTATCGGTTTGCTAAAGTGAATTCGTAGCACTGATATATTAATTAAAAGATTCAAAATGGTTCGTGATTTGTCTCTACATGTTCTGAACCATAATGCTAATTTAACCTTCATTATTTGCAGCAACTCAAGCTGGATTAATGCAGCAACTGCATAGGTTTTCCGTTCTACCTTCTGTGAGGCGTTCCTTTAGTGTTGCTTCATCTTCACCTGGCCAATCTTTAGGAACCCAACAGATTACACCACTGCCACCGCTACCGACACAACCTTCTCCCCCACCACCTCCGCCACCGCCTCTTCAGATAGTTCACCAACCTGCGGCTCTTTTCTCGAGCACACTGAGCAGACCACCACCTACATCAAGCAGACCCTTGCCTAACATCAACCCCATGATTCCCTCGACCACACCTAGCAGACCACTGCCTAGCGGCGACCCGATTGCCCCCTCGAGCTCACTTAGCAGACCGCCACCTGGCATCAACCCGATTACCCCCTCGAGTTCACTTAGCAGACCACCACCTTGCATCAACCAGATTACACCCTCGAGCACACTTAGCAGACCGCTGTCTGGCATCAACCCGATTTCCCCCTTGAGCACCCCAAACAGACCACCACCTAGTATAAACCCGATCACGCCGTCTGCCGGAAATCTAAGAGTAAACAGTGAAACCCGTGCTCCGGCCCCGCATCTCCGGCCTTTGGTCAGCAGTGAAATCCGGGCTCCGGCCCCACATATGCGACCATTAGCCAGCAGTGAAATCCGTGCTCCAGCCCCACATATTAGACCGTTTCGACCTTCAACATCTGCATCCCATGAATTTGCATCTTATCGGAAGATGCTACCAAATCAGCATGTAACAAGTAGCCTGCCACTGACCTCTCCCTCAAACTCTCAAACGACAGCGTTACCACCACTGCCACCGGAAGATTCCACTGTGCCACCACAAAGACCACCATCAGCTTCTTCACCTTGGCTACCGTCACGATCACAGTCGCCACAACCACAACCACGCCAAGCTTCACCTCAATCAACACCGTCACCGCTATATGCACACCACTCACTTCCCCGTTCTTCATCTTTACCACGGATACCCACAAGCCAAACTGGCATTTTTAGTGCATCGCCTTGGTCTGAACCATTGACTACACCTGATAACTCTAGTCGGCATAACGTCCTGCCACCTCCGACATCTGAGGTGCACATAGACATTGACCTGATGGACCTAACCGAATTCGTTCGAGATTATGGTGCACCCTCGTCTTCTGGGCATGACTTGGTTTGTTTGTCGGATGATGACTAGACTAGCGAGTAGATTAATTCATTAATGTTATAGAGAGAATATATTGTAAAGAATGTGAATGCAGTCTGTAATGGTCATGTAGTATAAAGGGGGTAACGTGTATTTCTTAGAACTTGAGCCCTTAACTGTTAACCACTTGTGTTTTTTTCAAGGTTCCAAATATCAAAGCATCTTGTAAGCCACGGCGTGACTTATGTCGGTAAATCTCTATATCATAGGCTCTAAAGGTCAAAAGTATCAGGAGGTCTCAGGTTCAAATCCAAGGAAGAATAAAAATCCCCTTGTGGTCACGGAGTTTCAAATGCGGTGACTCCGGGCTATCTGCAAAGCAGGTGGTCGTCTTGTTATTAATCGGCTCGCATAGCGGGTTGGATATCCAGGTTAATAAAAAAAAAAATCTCTATATCGAAAATAATATTATATACATAAACATATGTTTTCTACTATTATTCAACAAACCAATGATGATAGACAATTTAAAATTAAGTTGCATATTAAAAGCTAACAAATAAGACATTATAAGGATATGTAAAATCAAATATTATTGTTACAAAATCTGCACATTATGCTATCGCGTGCCTTAGACATAACATGATGTGAAACACAAGCCTTGAGCCACAACGTGCTATGGTGGCTGTTGTAACGAGTTTTTTTTCGAACATTGGTCATTTTTATAGAAAGGAGATGCAGATGCTTATATGTTTCTATGGGTTTCTTTGTTACCGTTTAATGATGTTTAAAGAGACTTATAGCCTATTTGGTCAGCTATATATGATTGTTTAGTAGTAACTTAATGATATGGCTTATTTAATAAGCTTTATATAAAAAATCAAGTTTTTTTTTTTTTTTCTAAACTTGTCTCTCTCAATTAAAATATATGCTCTTTTCATCCATAAAAAGAATTATTTCAAACAAAAACTTTCCCAATTTATATAGACAGATTAATTCACACATACAACACTCAATAGAAAACCAACAAATCAACTCTTAAGTTGCTACATCCTGAAATTGGGTATTTTTAGTCCATTCATTTTGAGAGCATCTCCGGTGATTATGTTAGTTTCTCTAAGATAAAATATCAAAAGTTAAAATCTTTAAAAAAATTATATTTAACTTCAATAGACATTCTATTTTAACCATTCTATCATTAACTCTATTATTGAAAAATTCAATACATTTAATAAAATATTGGTTTTCTCTCATAAATATGTGTTTTAGAGATTTCTCCAAATTTGGAGATTTCTACATTTTTCTTTTCTTTTCTCTATTTTAAGATACATTTATAGCACGTTGTTTGAGGAAAAAATATTCCCTAAATTTTCAAAATCCATCTTGGATATTTTAGTCCATTCACTATTAGAGAAATGTTGTTGGTTTTAGTGTTTTATGTTATGATACGGTGGATATTCTAGAAATCAAAATTTATAAAATTTATAAATTCGTATCATTGTACAAAATCCCGTGCAATATTCACTTTTATCGTATATTTTACAAAAAAAATGTACAAAATCCCACAAGAAGTTCCATAATATACATCTTTTAAGAAGCATAATCAAAATCTAGTTTACACGTTTAAGTTAAAATTTCGTTGTCATAATATGGATTTTATAAATTTGAGGGCTAAATTGTAATTTCATGAGAAGTCTAGAAACAGGCTTGTCAAACACAAGTTGATCCGATCTGATCCAACTTCCAAGTACGACAGGTCAAACCCAACATGTTCTTCAACCCAACTACGTGTTTGGCACATACTTCGACCCATTGCATCCGTGATATAAACTAGACTCGGTTTATTCAAATAGTTTTTATATTTAGTCATTGAATTTTGATGATCGGTAAAAAAAACACTTGAACTTCACAAAAAAAGAGAAAAATACAATCATAAATATTTTTCAAAATTAAAAAACTATTAAACTTTCTCATTTTGAATGATTAAGTATCTGAATTGTTTTTTTTAATGATTAAATACCGAATGATCTGAAAGGCAAACCTGAACCGCAAAAAAGTTGTTTGTGCAAAGCCCGAATGCCAGCAATCCGAAATCTGACTTTTGGAGGGAAATTTGGGTTTGGGTTAGGTTTGATTTTTGGCCATCCAACTCGTCCAACAACCCGATATATTTATTAGTATATCATTGGTGGTCGTACCCTTTTCTAATTTCTAAACCTATATCGAATCGATTGAATATATATTTCTTACGTACAACTATACTCAAACCCGGTGAATCCCAACCCGAAATCCTACGTATCTGAAGCAATCTGAAATCCGATCGGATTTTTGGTTTACCCGCCCAAATCTATCAGATGCACACCCTTGATCACTCTATTGTAGAGATCAATTTTGAAAACTTGAAAGCTTAAGGGTAAAAACTGGAAAAAGTTAAAAAGCTCAGGGTCAAAACTTATAATTCAAAAGTCAACAAGAAAAAAGTCGCCTCTGAAGTTGCGTCTTCGTATAAAATGTAAATCAATAAGTCGGGGAAGTAGAATCGGAATTCGGAGCACACGTTTCCGGTAACCCAAATTAGTATCTCCGGCGATATATTTTCCTCCGGCGATCGTTTCTTTTCCATCTAATCGCTAATTTTCTCTATCTCGGACGGATCTTTTGAGACGGATCCTTTTGTCGTCGAGAGGCGCAGAGAGTGATTATAGGAAGTAAGTGGTTAAATTGTATCTCATCGTATCGGAGCTTTTATCTGTTTGAGTTGTTTCACCATTATAATCAATTGGAAGAGCAACGGCCTCTGACAGATATGTTTAAGTTCTGGTAATAATTTTTGCCTTTCTTTCTTCTTCTTCTTCTTATAATTTAATTTGGTATGCATTAGGTTTTGTATCTTTTTATCGAATAATTGGTTTTAGGTTATTGTGTCTGATAACCTGAATTCGATGTCTGGTGTTGAAGACCATTCAGTTGAGAATTTTATCTGATTTTTGCTCCCATCGCAAATTCCAGACTATGTAATTGAAGTTCCTCAAGATACGCTTGTAGTGTAGTGCTCTTATTTACAAATCTTGTCCTTTAGATCCCAAATAAGAGTTTCTCTGCACAATATATGCAAAGATGGAAGATACGTTAGATGATGGTGATAAACTTGGGAGTTGGGACCGTGTCATTTTACAGTGATTTTTTGAGATTTTGAGGTGCAAATTCATAATTTGAAGTGGGTAATGCGGTTGTGGAATCTCTCTTGGGGCCATGATTTCTCTCATATGAAACTACGCCCTGATTGGCACTATTTTTGGACCAGTAATTCATTTGGTACATAATACATAAGCTGAAGCTGCTTTTAAGAATATCCATTGATTTTCCCTAGAGTGTGCTTTAGAATTATGCTCCACGCCATATTTTGGGTTGTAAACATCATCACTAGAATGGTTAACACCATGATTTCATGCTTTAACCTGAGCAACTGTAAGCATCATTGTGTTAAGAGTGCATTTTTGCTGCCTTGGCATTTATATAGTCGTCTATCTGTTCGATTATCTAGTAATGGTAATGAGAATTGGTTGGAGTATATACCCATAATGGCAATACAACATTCACCCCTATGTACCTTAGATAAATTTTTGTTTTTGTTGATGGCAATTGGTTCCTGAGTTGAACCCGAATGATGTCGAATCATCAACAGTTTGCATTTGTCTGTAAGTATTTGGTTCTTTTGGCTGTAAGCATCTTGGATATGAATGCAATTGTATTTTTCTTTTTATGAAGTATATGATATTTATATATGGCAAATACTCGACACACTCCATTGGTGAGGTTTGAACCCTTCACCTCTTGGGAGGCTGGGCTCTACCAGTAACCTGGATACATGGGGCCAATGACTTTGGTCATGCAACTGTATTTCGATCTGAAGTATCTAGTCATGTGTTCTGTATAACTTGGCTCCATGAAAATGAAATAATAAAAATTTGTGTTGTTGTTTGACTGTTTATAATCTTTAACTGAATGGTATTTTGGTCCATGCAAATCAAAGTAATAAATGCTGCTAACTTTCAGGGGTTCCCAAGAGCAACAAGTAGATCCAAGGCCACAGGAAATCACTACAAACTCATGGTATCCTCCGTCTGTTGTTAGCTCACCAAGTTCATCAAACCCTGCTACTCCTAATAGCAGCAACTCTGATACTCACACACAAAGGGTCGGAGATCGGTCTCACTTGTCCTCTCCTGTTTCTCCCACAGAGGCTGCAGGCATAATTGTATATCTAAAAGACAAAAGGTAACCTTACTTTCAAACAGGTTAATATTCATTAAGTATCTCTTTTATGATAGATTTTTTAAGTTTTAAACCCCAAAAGTCACTGGGAAACGATAGCATTGATGTAAATATTGTGTATTTAATTTCTTGTTTCAACTATTATTGTTCTTCATTTATTGATCCTAACACCATATGTCTTGAACTTGTTGCAAATTTTGTTAGTATGTCTTTATTGTATCTTGCATTATTTAATTGATGTAGTGTTGATGAGTTACGGAAGCTTTTATCCAACCAGGAGGCCTATCAACAATTCTTGCTTTCAATTGATCCTGTGAGAACGCAGAACAATGTAAGCAGCAAACTTTTATTGTTTAGACACAATCTGTTACTATCTTCAATGTTTTTCTTTAATCTTCAAAATGTTATTTATTCTTATATTTTCGTTTCTTTGTAAACCAGGTAAGAAATGAGCTGCGGAATGAAACAATGCAGCTCGCCAGTAAGTACTTTGTTTGATGTGTAGACTTTGTTCACATTTTTCCTAGTACACATTGCTCTGTTTAACCAGAAAAAAGTTGGGATGAAGGAATAATAAGAGAAAGAAGTAATGTGCAACAGTAGTTGCAATAATCTACTCCCTCCATCCCGTAACATTTGACCAAACAGTCATATTTGATTATTGACTTAATGTCTTAAGGGTGTGTTCGGTACACGGAATAGGACAGTACAAAAACCTTTGTCTCACGTTTGCTGCAACATCAGACTGGGACAGGAGAAGACTAGAGGTTGAATGGGACAAATATGCATTTTTTCTGTCCTACCAAAATAGGTGGAACAAAAATCATGGAGATGGGCAAGACTGGTAAATTACTAAACTACACATGTCAAAATAAAACCCTAAAACCTTCCACAATTCTTTCACCCGCCTACCTCATTCTCACCTGTTCAATCTTGTTCAGTCCCGTCCAATCCAGTTTCGTTGGCGTACCAAGTACACCCTAAATATCTTCAATAATGACAAAATTTGAGAAATCTTATGAACCCAAATCAATATGTTCAATTCTTTGTACGGCATTGACAATGGGTAGTCAAAAGATTCACCAGAAGGATCCGTCACAATTTTTTATGGATCCTAACACAAAATTGCAAAAAAGGAAAGTTTCATGGCACATAGGGGGTGAAGTTTTATGATATATGTTCGTTATGCAGGAGAAAACTTGGAAAAAGAACCCCAGATAACGGAATTGAGGAACCAGGTGAGGTTTTTCAGGTAGCGCAGATCTATAACAATCATCAAATTTATGGTCAAACTCATCATTTTTCCTTCACGTAGAAAAATTATGTGAGTTCATCACATTCTCTCTTTTCATTACTACACTGATGAGTTCGATGATCTCATTGGTTATTGCTATATATTTACCATAAATAAATGGCCACGATAAAAAGCCACAAATTTTTAGAAATGTGTAATTAGACTTTTAATCAACTAAATGATAATTTTACCCTGATAGAGGGAGTAATAGATTTCTCCATCTGGGTAGAATTGAAAAGTAAGCTTTTTACTTTTGGAACTGGAGATTTATTTTGGGACATAAGGGATAAAAAGTTTGGAGATTTATTTTGGGACATAAGGGATAAAAAGTTATGTATCTCAAAAGACTCGAGCTTTTTGCTTTTTGTTGTGGTACAGTGTATGATCATACGAACAACTGAGTTAGCATCTGCTGAAGAAAAGCTAAATGATCTCACTAAGCGAAAAGCCGAAATCCTTAAATATTACTCCCCGGGTTCCTTGCTACACAAGCTACAAGGTAAATATGCTCTTTTTGGAAGAGCTGAAAAACCACATTTTTTAAAGATTCTTGTTAATTTTTTATGCGTAAAACGTTCATGTGACACACAAATACATTATAGCATTCTGGCATGACAAATAAGCAAATTTAGCATCAGAATGTTTTTGAAATATTGAAGCATTGTGAAATTGGATAATTTGCTTCTATTTGTAGACTGAAATTCATATAGAAACCATCTGAAAGTTAGAAACCGTGAAAACCAGTTCCATATATTGTTTCATAGATTAACACATATGAAAACCAAACCTGTGAAAATCAGCCAAAACCATCCAATGAGTTTGATCTTAAGCTATGATTAATATTGTTTCATATGTTTTGTTCTTGTGTATGAGTGTGAGTTTCATATATAACGCATTTTTATGCTTTTCCCACACATAAAACATTCAGTGACGTTTAATCTATGAAACAATGTATGAACAATGCATGTTCACATGTATTTATGAAACAACAAATGCAAACAGGCTTTTAGACGGTTTCTATATGGTTTGTCTCTTCTGTTTGTATTGCCGTTGCTTACTTATATCCAGATTTCCAAAATTTAAGCTTACCTTTTCTCTCTTCCACGTACTTTTCACAAGTTGAGGGTCTTCACATAAATATCTGCTATACTCTGAGGTAGAGGTCAGGTCTGCATACATCTTCCTCACCCAGACCCCACCTCCGGGGGGGAATATACTTGCTTGTTTGGTTTGGTTTAATTCAATTGCCTAATTGGATAATTGTGTGATATTAACAAATTGGATGATAGTATGGTTGCAATCTTGTATAATTAATGTTTTAATATCTATTTCAGAGTGTATGGATAAAACGGACAAGGAATCCGAAGCGCTCCATGAGCAGCTTCTCGGAAAGGAGATTGATCTTGCAACATTCGTTCAGAAGTACAAACAGTTACGCAATGTTTACCACAAACGCTCTCTCACCTACCTTGCAGCCAAGACTTCTTTGGGTGGATGATCATTTTTGTCAAGCCATAATCAAGTTTTCGAATGGCTTTGTATCGCGAAAGTGGAACTTGTGTAAGATTTGAACTTAAAAGTACCATGTTAGTTCTTGAACTAAACTTGATTTTGACTTATAGCTAAATAATATGTTTGACCCGTGTTGGTGATCTTAATGTCATCAATCATTTTAGTGTGATTGTGATTTACGTCAGATCGATCTGATGATAAGGCAAACAAAAAAGAGTTAGGAAATGCGGAATACAAACTCATAAATGTTGCCTCTATCAGCTTAGATTGTCATAAGGAGAGGGTCAATGGGGCCACACCCCCTCTTGCTGGGTCCAAGGGCAGAGCCCCTAGCGGTAGTCCCACTGGTGGCGCACAAAACCTTTACGAATTTTAAGGAGAGTCTTACTTAGGAACTTTTAGTTTCAGGATGATCTGGTCGAATTTCGGAAGGTAGAAAATCTTCTTGAAATTGTTCCGGAACTTTGTTAAATTTTCGGGAAGTATAGTTCATTGGCATTTGAGCTTTTGCTCAAGTTCTTAAGGGTCGAGGATCATGGCCTTTTTTTATCGGATCCTTAGGCCTCTGCCTCGGGCCTCTGGTACGTGGCACTTATACGTGTTTACGCTCTTATAGGTTCCACCACTTGTTAATAAGATGTGGTGTTTAAGTATGAAAAAGAACTGTTTATTATTGTAAACTGGATAATATCTATATGTGTAAGCATAATCACACGATATTAAGAAATTATTACCAACAAATTAAAAGAATATACATAAAATGCTAATTAAAACTTATCAAAAATAATATTTAATTAAAAAAAATCAAAGTACAAAGTGTTGATAGTTTTTCAAGAGTACAAAGTTTTGAGCTCTTGAGACTTATAAATCTTATTGCCATGGAATAATTCTTAAACCTTCTGTTTTTTCAGGTTCCAAATTTTCGTTTTTGTTTCAGGTAAATAAAAGGACTGTAAGGGGTTTTAAGCTTATATCACAGGAAAAAAAGATTAGAAACAAACAGTGTTGAGCATCCACAGTGATGGAAGCTATAAGAGCATCATTTTTCATATTTTTTATTGTCACATCAACAAAATAAGAACCTCAATAAAACTCCACAACTGAAAATTTTACAAAAACCTCACTTTCCATTTTTTTTAAATGTAACTTTATTCATAGATTATTATATGTAATTATTTTTAAAAAATCAAATATAATATATTAATTTTCACTTTCTATATTAATTTTAATTCGTTAATATCAAGAACGATGATTGAAAATTCATTGTTCTCGGAGAATATGTGGGATATGGAGAATTTGGATATAAAAGAGCCTTTTTGATTCTCTAAGTTTTGCTTCTTTTTTTTTGAAAGAGACGTGTGAAGAATGAGTCATATGAAGTCATCTATACATAAGAGACATTTTACTATATTTTTTAAATATAAAAATGATATTATACCATTATTAATTTATGTTTTATAAATTAACTTTAATTTATAGATATAAGTATTTGAAAATTAATCTAAACATAATAATATAACAAAATAATTAATAATTAAACTTATTTAAACAAAATTAAAAACATGTATAAAACAAGAAAAGAAAAATAATAACAAAAATAATAAATACATTTTGTGATTATTGTTCAAACAGTTAAATTAATAAGAATTTATGATTTAACAAGAACTTTTATAAATTTATTATTTATAAATTTTGTTACACAAAAATTATTTAAATCTATAAAATTCAAAATACAGTAAATTACATTTCTCGTCCCTATGCTTTGTTAGAAATTGCAATCTTTGTCCTTGTGGTTTAAAGATTACAGGTTTCATCCTTATGGTTGATAGTTTATTGTTATTTTTCGTAATGGATTATGCTTCATGTTTTATAATTTATTATCGTTTCGGTCTCTGTAAATTACAACTCTTTTACTTGCCCTTACTTTTAGAGGTATGAATTAATTCAGTGACGAAATTAACAATGAATTACAAACTGTAGAAACGGAAATTATAATCGACAACAATCCGAAAGTCAAAAGTACTTTGAGGTCTCAGGTTCAAATCCAATGGGGAATAAAAATCTTCTTGTCGTCATAAAGGTTCAAATACGATGACTCCGGGCTATCTGCAAAGCAGGTGGTTGCCTTGTGATTAGTCGGCTCGCATAGCTGGTTGGATATCCTGGTTAATAAAAAATAATAATAATAATCGTAATCATTAACAGGGACTAAAATCGTAATTTGGTATGGAATGGAAGAGAGAGATCAGAAATGGAAATACCGGCTGCACCTCGGCCGTTACCCATCGTCTGTCCCCAAAAAATGGCTGATCAAACTTATCGGGAATCTGTAATGGAGACGCCTAAACAGCATCACAATATATGCAAATCATGAAATCTTTTCAACTTAAAACCAAAATCACGATAAAATTTACCTGCAATTGGATAATCCCTGCAAAATTTCCTTCCAAATTCATACCCATATCTCAGGAACACGATCAATCTCTCCCTCACATCCTGCAGACCTGTAAGCACCTGAAATTTCGAGTTTTATGTTATGATTTTATGAATTTTGCATACACATTTCATGTGAATGGTGTTTGTTCCTCCTGAAGGTTTCATTTGATCGGTTTCGGTTACGCCAACAGGATGTGTTTAGGGTTTTTAATTATACGTGATATGTACTCTCTTGTAAAATGCTTGGTTGTTTACTTTATTTGGGATGATGTGATTGTATTTCTTCTTCTTTAATTACTATGATTGGAAGTTATACCTTGAATTATTGTAAACGTGCTTCTATTGTGGCGTGAATGCTATTGAGGTTTTTCTCAATGTGGATTATAGGTTTTGGAATTGGATGTCAAGGATTTCGTCCTTAGAATTGACATGGCTCTTATTCGCTTATGCAAGAAGTAACTGCATTATAACATGCAAGCATGCAACTACAAGTACAATGATGTTGCTGTTGATTTTGAGGGGGGGAAATGTGAACATTATCTGGTTGCTTTCAACAGTAAATGTTTAACTCTTCTTTACTTTAGCAAGTCTTTTTCTTTGTATTTAAGTGCAAAGTAGGTTAAATTTTAAGGCAGTAAGATTTCAATTTTGGTTATAGTGGAAGTGATCTACTTAAGTTGATTTCAGCACTCGGGCCTATTAAAATACTCCCCCATTTAATTTCCCATTATCTCTAGGAGTGAAATGTAATACTTTCATCTTTAAATTATATTAATTTGTTCTGTTATGATAATAGTTCAATACCTTCGGGTTCTTCAGTTTCTAACACTGCAAACTGAGAGCCCTTGTTATTGCTTATTGCATGCATATCGATATATGATAACTACTAGGAAAAACGAGGTTGGACGTGCAAAAATTGATCCATGCTAATTTTAACATGTGGAAGTGTTAGAGATTATTTTGAAAGTAAAAACAGGACAATTATTTTTGCAAGTTTTTTTCTGCTTCCACCTGTCCTGGGTTTCATGAATTTGATTCAAATGCACCAATGCATATTAGAGGCACACTACTTGGCGCATGGTGTGGGGCTTTCTGCAACTAAGGTGGGTGACTTGAGGCAAAGCCGAAAGCATGCTTTGGGGTGTAGTAGAAAGGTCCGAGGTGAGGGCGAGGCAAGTCTGGGCCAACTATGCATGTAGGCTGTGAAAATAGATGTTTGTTTTCTTCATTCTTCTTTTTATCATTGAACTTCTTTGCTTATTACGATTGACCAACTATGTTACTTCATATCATTCGAGTTGAAGGGAAACCTTCTTCTGCTCAAGCATGCCCCCATTGGTCTTGCCCATGTTCCTGGATAATGAGGCAATCAAATGTTATGTGCTTTTCGACAATCCTGACTTTTCAAATGTTCTTTTATTGCAAGAATATTATGTACAGCAAGTGGAAATATTCAGTTTCTGTTATGGATCGCCTCTCTTTCTTAAAATCAGAATGTTTCCTAACTATGTTTTTTCAGGTATTTCTATACCTGGTAACACTGTTTCACACCCTTATATCCTGGAGGTTGCTGTATGTTCGTTAGAAACTGTTCATGCAATTGGTTTTGCCTTTGATTTTAAATTTCGGCTTTCTTTTGCACAAATGAAAAACATACACCGAGGGTAAGTATAGATATTTGTGCTAAATTTTCGATCAAATCTTGTTGGTTTGTTTATGCTTGTACTTTGAAGCATGAGTTCTGTTTGTTAGATCCTGCTTAGTAAATATTCAATTAATTTTTATACAGCAGGGTTGTAAAGAAGCCAAACAATGGTGCAAGAGTTATTATAACTGCAATTGCAGGAGTAGTCTTCGGATACTTAATTGGGGTTAATTTTCCATATGTTGCTCCTACCAAGGTGGGTTATTTTCAGATTTTCTATATGATTGTACAAGAACATCATCATCCATTTGATTTGCTTCTATATCTTGCAGATCACCTTACCTTCATGCATTCATTCGTCGTCTGAAGAAACAATGACCATAGATCAGTCAAAGGCTTTTGAGTTTAATTCCCCTGAATTTCTTGGCTCGGTTAATACACGTGCAACACCTCAGGTATATTTTTCTCTGGATATATGGCACCTAACTTCGCCTAAGTTGCTTGTTGAAACTAGCAGAATCATCTCTTACAATGCTCATTTTTTGCCAGCAAATGAACATTATGTCTACCACCATTACATTTTCTGACCTCTCACCCTCTCTTACTCCTCCTCTCGCTGTTTAATTATTTACATGGATGTAGATAAGTGAGTAAAAGTTACTTAGAAAACAGATATGTTCTAGATATTCAAATCTCAGCTGTTATGGAGGATGGGAATTTCTTTTTGATAATCAACTGTTTGGACTTTGGAGTTTCTTCTGAGTTTATGAACAATTCTTTGTCAAGAACCGGTTTATCTGTCATGATTCTTGGAACAAGCATTTCTTCTTTAACTAGCACACATGAATAATCCATTGACCTTTGCATCAACAATCTATAAGCATAAGTTTTCATAACAAATCACAGATGTGTAGCTTTTTCTTGTTTCATTTTTTTTTCCCGGGAGTCATTTCTTTAAATTAACAGTTTTTTTGGTTATGGTTAATGATGTTATGCCTGTATTTTTGTGATAGATGAAATAGTTTTCTTTCTATTAGTGCCTTGCTAGTCTTCAAATATGATTTTACAAATGTTCTATTTATTTTTCTTTGTTTTTCCTATGCACGATGTTTCATGATATATCTGGATTTTGGTTGTGCTACAGTTTGCATGATGAATACATAACTCATCATTGTTCTGGTTCCAGATTTATGTTCCAACAAATCCCCGTGGTGCGGAGCCATTACCTCCAGGAATTGTAGTCCCAGAAACAGACTTATATTTGCGCAGATTATGGGGCGATCCTAGTGAGGTATGGAATTGATATGTTTAATCACGAACAATACTTTTCTTTGGTTATTTAGCCAAAATGGATCTTTTTTGGACCGATCTTGGCACATTTATTGGGACATTTTTTATTGGTCATTATTACTCCTCATAGCATGCCAAGTTGCTTATTAATCTTTAAGACGGAGTTATGATAGTTTACCATTTTCTGCAGTTGAGAGTCCATTTCGTAGACTTTTACATGCCCCTCTCCTTGTGCTTGATTCCCTTTACTGTGCACACGCTTAACTTGTTCAAGTACATTCTGCATGAGAGTTATCATTTTGACTTAAAATTTGCCAATAGTTGTTTTCTGTGTGTGCAGATAAGATTTTTGATACTTTATATAGAAAAGAATAAATATATGACAAGATTTTATCTCTAGTTTGGCACTTATCAAATGGGCCGTGCCAATTTGATTGGTAGGTAACTGCTGCTGACTTATAATGCATGGATTTTTCAGGATTTGAAAAAGAAGCCAAAATACTTGGTAGCTTTCACAGTTGGTTGGGGTCAGAGAGAGATGATTGATGCATCAGTAAAAAAGGTTTTACAAGATGGTCACATTAATGTTTATATGATTTGATGGCTTAATGCTAATATTAGAATACTGAGGTGTAGTCATGACCTTTTTAGTTTTCTGAGGATTTCCAAATCTTGCTTTTTCACTACGATGGTCGAACAACAGAATGGGATCGTTATGAGTGGTCAAAGCAGGCAATTCATGTCAGTGTAAAGAGACAAACTAAATGGTATATTTGAGGTTCCAGCCTCACTACAAACTCTATTACATTTCCCATGTTTACTGCATCAATTTTTCATTTGAATTTTTTTTACTTTTCTTATAGGTGGTATGCAAAGAGGTTTATGCATCCAGATGTTGTGGCGCCTTATGAATATATTTTCGTTTGGGATGAAGATCTTGGGGTGGAACACTTTAATGCGGATAGGTTTTTTTCTTCTTTATTTTTGGTTTATGAATCATGCTTATAGCAAGCTCTAAGTTGCAGATATATACACAGAAGTAAATTTGCTTATGCATGCTATTCCAGGTATATTTATTTAGTAAAGAAACATGGTTTGGCGATTTCTCAGCCTGGCCTTGAACCCAATAATGGATTAACATGGCAAATGACAAAGAGAAGAGGTGATAAAGAAGTTCACAAGTATGTTATTATTTTTTTATTTCATTTTCTTATTTACTATATTAATGTTGTTATAATGCATTTTTGAAGAAGCTTTTAAATCCGCACTTGTGTTTATAAATGTCTGGATCTGTAACAGGGATACGGAAGAGAAACCTGGATGGTGCAGTGATCCCCATTTACCTCCATGTGCAGCGTAATCTCTCTCTCTCTCTCTCTGATCTAACTTTTCCAGCTCGAAGACCTAACATGGTTTTAAAAACATCGATGCCTCACTGGCATGTTTGTGAAAGTAGTGACCCATTTGATTACATCCTGAAATAATTCACTATGGTAAAAAAGCATAGTTGCTATTAATAGTTCTACATACACAAAGTTTCAATTCACATTGTATGTTACATGCCTATCAGATATATGTCCAAGGCAGTGTATTAGTTATAAGACGAAGGATCATTTGAGAATAGTAGTTAAGGTGAGAAGCATAAGAACGTATTTGGACCCTTGACCACTTTTAATCTCACCCCCACCCTATGAACTGCGCTTCTCATGGGAATTGATCCGGTGTGTCTCGGTGCACACGATTCGTGTTGGTCTTCAATTAGGATTGATCCAAGTGTGTAGATTCCTTCTCACCCTTCTCATCATAACTTCCATTCTCATCGGAACCCACCCTTAGTTATAATGCATTTCACTTGAGAGTACTAATTTCGCTGCTTTTTCCAGCTTTGTAGAGATTATGGCTCCTGTGTTCTCACGGGAAGCTTGGCGGTGCATGTGGTATATGATTCAGGTAAAGATATCTATCAATAATTTATTGTCAGACATCCATCATACATGTATAAGTTATATACATCAGAAATTTTTAAATAAGCTCTGTGTTTTAGTCTAGTGCAGTACATTCTGTCCATGGGTTCATTTGCTAACAATAATGCTAATTTTGGCTTTATTATGCACATGAAGAATGATTTGGTGCATGGATGGGGTTTGGATTTTGCTCTTAGAAGATGTGTAGAGGTATGTACTTTTTTTCCCTTACCATGTCTTTTCTTTTTCATGTAATCATGTATAATTCCACCCTGTTGAGCTATTGTTCATTATTACATTCTATCATATCTTCTTAGTAAGTTATACAACTCTTACGCAATTAGCTATGCAAGTAGTTATAATTATTTAAATGAACATGCTAGTTTTCTATATCCAAATTAAATGGTTGGCCACACGCAGAGACATTGTTTATATGTGAATCAATTGGATTTCTTGAATCTTGATGGCATACCTAACGAAATAAGGGACCTTATTCGGGTATGAAGAGAGTGAAACTTGTACAAAGAACCTTTTAATATGGAAATGACACATGCTTTGTAACAAACTCAAATTAGAAGACTGCAATAACATGAAAGAAGAAATGTCAAGATGTTAGATTTTTTTTAGTCTACAAACTATTTTGCTGATGTTTTGGCATGTCGATCCATTCTAATAATCTGTTATGGAAGTTTGTTGGTCTTAATCTGGAGCAAGTGGTAGTGATTTTCTAGTCTTGCTAGAAGAAAGAAAATGGAAGGTTCATGTTGCTAGAAGAAAGAAAATGGAAGGTTCATGTATAGTGATAAGTTAAGCTTTTTCAGATTGATCTCTTGGGTTGGGTGCTCTATCCTAGCTCTACACATGGGAAAAATTTTGTAACTCCAAACATAATAGTATCTATCCTTAATCTCTGTAATGTGGAATCATATCATCGACAACTAAACCTATTACACTACACAAATAGTTTCCTACTCCTAGGCATATGGAACGGACACATAACAAGTATGACAAAAATAACATCCATTAGCAAACAATTGACCTGCTATATTACAAAGGAGCTTACTGCTTTCCACATATATGGTTAAATATCTTTAGAGGCTGTTTGATTGGTTTTCCATCAAGTCCTGTGTAGATTAATCTGTCTGTATAGATTGGGAAGGCTTATGTTTAAGAGGGTTTATAATTGGGAGGGACAAGTTTGGAAAAAACTTGGCTTCCTGTATAAAGCTCCTCTTAGAAGCTTACTTGATAAGCCACTTTCTGTATCATTAATGCACTACCAAACAGTCATGTATAGCTGACCGAATAAGCTATGAGTCTTAGTAAGCTCATTAAGCTGCTAACAAGCAGGCCCTTAGTGTAGTAAGTCTCATTGTCATCTGATCAATACTTGAAATATGACTTGTTTCTTCTCACAGCCTGCACATGAGAAAATTGGTGTGGTAGATTCACAGTGGATCGTTCATCAAGTCATTCCTACACTTGGGAGTCAGGTGAGTCATTGTAACTTGTATATGTTGTTCATTGTTGCTTGTATGAAGTTAGGTTCACATTGTTCATCAAGTCATTCCTACACTTGGGAGTCAGGTGAGTCCTCGTAACTTGTATATATTCTTCATTGTTGCTCGTATGAAGTTAGGTTCACGTGAAAAATGGGAATCAACAAAGAACCCTTCAATCAAGACACCAAATGTGCTTTTCATACTATTTCTGTCTTCAATGAAGCAGCTGTAATGAATAGTAAAACACCAAATTTAGTAATAACACTATTCTTTTACACTCTATTTGGTGTTATTGTTCAAAGTTGCAAATTGGCCCTTCAGATTTGAGATACATGTATTGTTACTTAATTTTGTTGTATGTGGGTATAATTTGTAACTTTAATAAGTGCAGGCGTGTTATCGAAAATGTATAGTCATAATTAAATAAGAATACACTGTGAATATTCTATTTTGGTGTAATGGGTGGGTGAAAAATTGGTGGTTACACCAACATATAGTAATGGGTTCGAGATGGCCTAAGAATATGGGCTGGTAAAGTGTCCAACCATTCTTGCTCAAGTGATTGGATGAACTAGGTCCCGAGTTTTGATTTTGCGCTTCTATATTACCCTCTGGATTGTCAGCAAAGTTTTTGAGCTAACTTTATCTGTTCATTTCACACACCCAAAGTCGGGGTCTTCACAAAAATAAATATGCTATTCTTTTGGATAGAGGTTAGGTCACATACATCACACCCCCAACCCCCACCCCACCTCCAGTTGGGACATACTAAGCTTCTTTGGTTTGGTTTGTATTACGGGGGTCTTCACAAAAAAAAAAAAAAAAAAAAAAAAAAAAAAAAAAAAGAGCCACTCTACTCTTTGGGGTAAAAGCCAAGTCTAAGTGCATCCCATCCCCACCCCACCTCCGGTTGGGACATACCGGGCTTATTTGGTTTGGTTTATATCACCCGCCGGATCAATAAGGGTGTGTCTATGGAACAAACAAAAGTTCCACCTTTTTGGATGTGGTTTCTTAGGTCTTTATAAGAAAGAAAAAGTAGTTCGTAACCCGATGGTTTGTGTATTGATTCAGGGTAATGTTATGAATGGGAAGTATGGATGGCTAGCGGTAAGTGTATTTTATGTCTTAAGCTGGCAAAAGATACACACACCCAAGGTCGTGAGATTATACTTACGAGTATGTTTCTTCATTTCCATACAATCATAGGTAAAAGATAGGTGCAAAACCGAGTGGCTCCTATTCCAAGATCGGCTTGCGAATGCAGAGAAAGCTTACTTTAAGAAGACAGGGAGAAGGCTAAACTAACTAACGTGGTCCCACATAATTGGTGGGTAAGGAGGTGGGCATTCTTGCAAATTGATATAGTTTACACAGTTTCGTTACATTTCTATGTCATCGATTAACCCCGGATTTGGCGTCTATCCACATTTGAGAGATGGTTCAAAGCTCGGATCTCCCACAGGTGGCTTTTCTGTGTGTGATCGGTTCCATATGCATATATATTTTGTAATATATATATATCTATATAGTCATTATATAGTGTATAATAGGTCAGGAAAGATTGCCGGTTTTTTGTGCATAGTTACATATACAAACACTAAACCGTTAGATGTAGCGAAAATATTGTATTTTGTTTGTTGTGTGGTATTCATACATGAATCATATTCTCTATATGTTGTATTGGTGCCTATTCACCGTCTTTTATGCACATGTGCATATGCAACCATTGTTGTTGGAAGAAATGCATTTGGAAAGAATAACAGTTGCTTTTTACTTTATCGGTTAACAATTTACCGTTGGATTGCTTTTTGGATCCTCGTCTTGATCGATCAAACCGCTCGCTGGCATGCTTGTTTGAGTAGAACTCTTGAGTAGCATCTCAAAGGGAACTCTTTTATCAGGTGGTGGACATTCTTGGCAGATATAGGCTCGTGGGGTTCAACTATAGGTACTACCTACCTGCCCCTAGTACATGCAATTTACCTTCTCATGATGGTCGTTGGAACCGGTCAGGTGAGTTGCTCTAGAGTAGAGATGCATAAAGTCTGGGCCTTTCAGCTCCGTTTTTTATATAAAAATGGGGATTTTCATAATTGGACCGGACTTTTTGCGTGAAAATGGGGGTCCCGTTTGGGTTCCTTTCGTGCTTTTGGAAGAAATTTTTTTAGCGTAATCTGGCTTTTAGTCTTACGATTGTCTGGGCTTCGGTGTTGCTAGTCATGGGCTTTTTCGAGCCAGGGTTTGAGTTTTTTGTGCATATCTACTCTAAAAGGTGGTGTTGTACCCTTTTAACATAATTTTTTAGATTAACTGGGTTTTCAAAATGAGCGTGAATTGTTAACTGAGTCACCCGTTAGACTTGTCTCCAAAATAGAAGACATACAATCGAACAAACACCCTTAATAATTCGGAAGGCGTATCGAGAAAAACTTGTCCCTCAAATTCAAAATCAACCAACAAAAAAAAAAATAACTATTGATAACGATATTTTAACACTAGAAAAATACTAAACAACTATTGTTTTATCAAATACATCGAAACAATAGAAATATAGATAAAAGTCCGATAAAGACCTTATGGGGTTAGCTCAGCTGACAATAAAACTTGGGTAATTGAGGATTCTTCTCATTTGTCATAGGTTCGAATCCTACAATGCCACTTAGGATTTTCATGGCTATTCTCCAGACTCTAGAGCCTCGGGGTTTTTTTTTTTTTAATTAACCTGGATATCCAACCCATTATGCGAGCCGACTAATTCCAGGACGACCACATGTTTTGCAGATAGCCCGGAGTCACCGCATTTGAACCTCCGTGGCCACAAGAAGATTTTTATTTCTCTTTGGATTTGAACCTGAGACATTCTGGTACTTTTGAGCCTCAGAATTTTCCTGACTGTTCTCCGGCCTGATTAATAAAAAAAAGTCTGATAAATATGATGTGTCTTTTGATTCAAAATCTTGACATAACGTATTCCAACTTAGTATGTCGTGCTCATGAAAATAGATGACGTAAACGAAACAATTTGGATATAAAATTATAAATTGTGAATTTGAAGGAAAGGAAGCATCCTAAGACACTCCATGGTTTTAAATTATTTTCTTTTCTTTTATTATTAATTTAATACTTTAATTATTTACATGAAATTTTATTTTAAAACTGATTTGGTCTTTTCTTCTATTTTAATTCCTTGTTTTTAGTTTAAAATTTTATTGTTTAAAAAATTAACTGTAGTTTTTTTTATTAATTTGGATATTCAACCCGTTATGTCAGCCGATTAATCTCAGGACGACCATCTGTTTTGCTGGTTGCTCAGAGTCACCACATTTGAACTTCCGTGACCACAAGAAGATTGTTACTCCTCCTTGAATTTGAACATGTGACCTCCACACACTTTTGACCTTTGGATTTTACACCACCCTTGTGGTTTTAGGATCATCTATTAAACAAAATGTTTAGAATCGAATTATATTAGGTGCCATAGATGCACAAGGACCGGTCCTAACCGATTTGGTACTCATGGACCCTATGGTGCATAAAAAATCTAGTATTTGGTCCCAAATCTAGGACCAATCCGGGTCCAACAGTTCAACATGTTATATACTGGTTTAAATTTTGTTTTCTTCGGTGTTCAAAAAGGTGTTCTTGACGGATATGACATAGATGTGTCGTTATTACGATAAGATCTATAGCGTTTATGTAAGGTATGACTCACACACGACAAAGTGTTTTTTTAACAAGCCGTGACTTTTTCAAAAAAATATTTCTTTATAGTTTTTTTTTTTAGCTTTCGTGTTGTTACATCTTAACTATAGACTTTACACTTTTTATAAAATTATCCAATAACATTACTCACAGTTTCACGATTTCATACACGTCATGGACTCACGATTAAAACGAAGTTGTAAAATTATCCTTTTAAGTTCTATTTTGAAAATTGAATCAAATACCATTTTTATAATAATAATAATCAATAAGAATTTTCTTCTAATATAAATGTAAATTTATTAGTATCATTATCAAATCGAATAATATATAGAAAACATACATGTATAGCCAAAGGTTCATTTTGAGAAGTGATACGTATTTAAGAAGTAAAGAAATGATCATAACTCTTCATCTTGATATTTGCGGCTTTGACTGGTCAAGATTTGCGACATGGTGCAACTATTCAAAAAATAGAGAGGTAGTTCCGTAACTTTTACAAATAGGCGGCAAAACAAGTGAAACAATACATTTAATGCTAGCTTTAGATGGAAAAAATAATGTGAAACAATACCTTAAGATAAAAGTTCTCGCGATTATCATAATATATGGTGTCCTTATTTGATTACGCATATATATAGAGAGAGAGAGATGAGCGATTAAATGAAAACCACTCTAATTTGTAAAAACCGTAAAAACTACT